ACTACTGGGTTCAAATCCCTTGAAGGTCAGGTCGGCACTGCTTGCGAAACTCATGGTCTGGATCCCGCCAATTCAGAATTCACGCGGCTGTGAGTGGGTTAAGTTTTTCCCGGGAAGGAGGCAGGGGGAAGGACTACGAGGCACAGGGAGCCTACGGAACCCAGGCCCTTGGTCTGCGAGGTTGGGGTTGCCCGGAATGGGTCAGTCACCTGGGAGCCGGTTCCGTTGCCTCGGGCCTCGGACGCACACTGTCCGCACCAAGGGTGCCAGCTTCTGCTTGAGAGCACCTGCTGCCAGGCTTCCACACCGGAACATTTCGGCAACCGGTACTCTGTACCACCTCCTTGCCTTTCTTCTCACGGACCGACAGACGGGTCAAACACCGTGGGCCCCAGCCCGTTCCACCCCCCAGGTCCCCTCACACGCACTCTACGCAGGCTCCTCCTTCCAGCTCCGGGAGGGCATTGGCCAGTTAAACTGGCCTGCTAGAGCAGGGGAAGGGGAAGCGCGGCTGGAGGCCTACTGCGCAGGCGTAATATTCAGCGCCGCATTGCGATTGGCTCTTACGGCGAGACATTTGCGCCTGCGCCTGGCTGCCGGCTGGGTTGCAAAGACCGCGGCGGGAGGTGTTAGCCAGTTTCCACGGCTTGGTAGCAGTGCTTTCCGCTGAGCGAGTTTAGAATGCTGTCCAAGGAGGGAGCCATGGGGCCTCTTTGCTTGGCGGTTGTGGCCGGTGCTGCCGCTGTGTCGAGGGCGGGAACTGATAACAACACCTTACAAAGCTTGGCCATTGTACATTTTGTTCTCCTGTTTTAGGCTACTAGGTACTAAGCCTTCCGGATTCTCTGGCTATATTCCACTTCCAGTCTTTCCATGAGGTCCAAGCCAGAACACCTGGCTTCCCAGATTTGGAAGGCACTTCCGTCTTTTGCAAATTGCTGGCACTTTCCCACCTAGCCCCTTTTTCTAGAAGTAATCATTCCTTGCTCTCTTTCCCCGTACCGTTTTTTATATTGTGCAATTCTATTCCTCGATGCTGTATCAGGGGATGCGGATAATTTCTTACTATTATGGCTTCTGTGCATGAGAGCAAGGATGCTGGCAAAAAGAATTTGTCCTTTGCAGAGAAATTCTAAGCAGGACTTTCGAGTTGTGGGAGGAGTAGGGTGAGGGGCTGAGTGTAAATAGGTGTTCTGACTCCCCCAAATGTAAGATAAGTTGGAAATATTTTTTTTTTACTCTTTGCAAAACATAAACATAGGCCTTTTTCAAAGTTTGGGGTTACATATTCATTTAGCAGATATTTAATGAGTACTTGCCACTTGGACTATACTATGAAAGGGTCTTTGGGGCATGTGGAAAGTATAGGAAGTGGTTACTAGTTGGGGAGATGACACATATTAACATTTAAACAATATGGAGTGTTTCCTAAAGTGCCAGAGCAAGAGAAAGTGTATAGGATGGAGTAGCTAAGGAAAGACTTCATGCAAGTGTTACTTGAGCTGTGTCTGGAGGGATGTATAGTAAAATTCAAATAGACAGTGGAGGAGGAGCAATGACATTTCAGATGGTGAATACATTGGGACCAAAGGCAATATTTTTAGTGGCTAAGCACCCCTTGACATTGGATCCAGTCTTGCCCAGGTTGAATCCTGGCTATCACCTGGGCAGGTCACTTAACTGTGCCTCATATTCCTCATCTACCAATCTCCTAGGGTTGTTGTTATGAAAATTAAATGAGCTAATATTTGTCAAGTATTTTAGAGGAAGCACCATGCTGTTTAAAAGGCTTAGAGGTATAAAACAAAGAAGCTCCAGCACATTTTGGGGGGATAATGGCAGAGAATACATACTAGGAAGTAGATAAGTACAGGTTAATATTCTGGGGCTAGAGCTGACCTGGCAAGAGAATTTGGTTCTAATCTTGTAGGTGATGAAGTTATTATTTTTTTTTCTGGAATAGGGGTAGAGAATGAAATCACAAGACCTCATTTTAGGAAGTTTAACTCAGGAAACAGTCTTATTTGGGTGAAAAAGATCAGGGTTCTCTTAACGTTCAGAAGTGCAGGTAATGGGTGACTTTTTACCTAGGGCTGCTTTGGGGGATAAATATTGAAAATATCAATTTCACAATAAGGTAAAATTATTTATATTAATACATTAAAGGCCTCATGGACATTGATATTTCTTGCTATTTCTAAAAGCAATAACAACAATAAACATGGAATACAAAATTAATCATATCTGTTGGTGAAAGAGGCTTTGGAAAACCCTGTCAAAATCATGATGATCAGGTGCCTATGAAAAGGGCTGGGTATATTTGAAAGACAATCATTTAGTGATGCACAATTAACACAAAGAAAAGGTGCTGTATAGCACATTTATTTTTGCAATAGGTGCAATGAGGCACTTAAAAAATCTCTTAAAAAATCTCATTAATTAAAAACTATAGTTCATCTCTTTTTTTTTGCAAAAACAATACACACACAACAAACTAACTCCAGAAATATAAGTGAAATGTCCCCAAAACCTCACCCCACAGAAGTAACAAGCTATTTTTATTATAAGGTCATGGTGCCATTTTGAGATACCATACTTCCAGAAATCAGTGTTTCTACCTTAGAGCTATAATATAAACTCTCAGACTCAGTTACAAGTTTTTGCTGGAAGTGCACATCTGATTCACATCAGATGAGATTCAATAATCTCATGTGGATGTAACATTTTTTGTATCTCTCAGAAAGTTAGCATTGATTCTGGCTATGAGTTGGCAAAGCTTCTTTCCATTCTGCCTAGTGGGTATGCCTAATTAATAGTTACCCTCCCCCCCTTTTATAACTACTCTTCTGTAGATAATGATCACCAGGAGCCTTACAAATACAGAGGAGAATGTTGCAGCAAACTGTATTTAGGTATCAGCCAATCAAAAAACCAAAATACAATGAGATTGCTAGTCACACTGTACAATAATTGGTGTTCATAATGATGACCTTGGATTACCCACTTAAGATTAAATCCTTCTTGAGATGGTTTTATTTTATTTTATTTTATTTTAAGATTTTATTTATTTATTTGACAGAGAAATCACAAGTAGGCAGAGAACCAGGCAGAGAGAGAGAGGGAGAGGCAGGCTCCCAGATGTGGGGCTCGATTCCAGGACCCTAGGATCATGACCTGAGCTGAAGGCAGAGGCTTAACCCACTGAGCCACCCAGGCACCCCTCAAGATGGTTTTAATATTGAATAGTATAATCTAGGGTTTTAGAAATGGGTGACTCACATATATTGGGAAAGATCTGTAAATATGTCTGCTAACTCAGCTAAACAGCTTATTAACTAGAAGACCCCAAGTTTTCTCAGCCATTCTGAGTAAGTTCAACTTGGCTGAGCAGTCACATTCCAATTTGCTTACAGATATATAACCGAGTCACTGAATGGTTTTTCTCATAGTGGGAAGGGAATTGGTCACGTTTGTCTCTTTGGCCGCTCAGCCTCACACACAAATAAGATGGCAGCTCATGTGCACCGCTGGAATCCCCGACTTCTGCTGGCATTAGTAAATAACCCATATGTCGGTGCTACTGACATATGTCAATATTGCCTATGAAATGTGTGAGAGGAGGGATAAAGTCTTAAAAGCTAAAAATGGGTGCATTTTATTGTATGTTAATTGTACCTCAGTAAAGTTGATTTCACAAGTAAATTCTGAACCTGAATCACCCTCAAGAGAAGGAATGCAGGTCTCCACCAAGACGTGTGATGCTTAGTAAGCTTTGGGAAGCTGCCCCCTAATATCGTAAGAAAGTTCTGTTCATTTATCATCTTCCAAGCATAATCTAGGCTTCTGGCAAATTAGACCCAACCACTTTGCTCTACACTCAGTTGCGGAGGGGTGAACCCTCCTAGGGGTTTCCAATTCTTTTAGAAACTCCACCATTCTGGAAGGTCTTATGGTTATATGGACATTATATCCTATGGGAGACACTGTGAGGTTTATGCCATGACCCAAGATCCCTCCACCTGGGTCTGTAACGGTTAGCCCCGGAAACAAGGTTCCCTTTGGCTGGCCCTGCCACCACCAGCTTCCCCCCTTCTCCTACCCCGCGTTTGGCCGTCTTCGGCGGCGGGACTTCCCTATTGGCCAGCCAAACACAACCGACTGCGACAGCCAATGGAAGCCGCTCTCCTGAACATTCAGAGGATGGGTGCTCGTGGTGTGATGAGGGGAGGTTGGCGCCTGGCACGCGCCCCCCTACATCTGGCAAGTCGGTGACAGAGACAGTAACTCCCCCTACACACGCACACCCCGTGCCCCCAGCTCCCTCCTGTCAGCTGGCGGGCCCCCACGGCCCACGGCGTGTCTTGGCAGCGCCCTCCCTGGCTCCCTAGGGCGCGCGAGTGCACCTGCTTACTCAATAAGACAGAGCATCCCTTTATCCCAGGGCTTGGGAGGGGGCCGAGGAGGCGCGGGAGGTGAAAGAGGTATCTCTGCCCCTCCCCACCCCCCGCCGAGTCGTGCCGCTTCGGGGCCGAAGTGCTCCAGAGATGCCTTAGGGTGCAGCTCTCTTTGTCTTCTCCAGCTGTGCTCGCTGCCCACTGACCCCTAGCGCTCCGAGACGTGGGGGCGGGGAGCCCGCAACCTATAAAATAAATGGGGGCAAGGAGAAAGGAAGACCTTCCCGGGGCGGCGTGTGCCGCTCTCCTCACCCCCTCCCTTCCCTCCTTAGGCTTCCTCCCTCCGGTGTGTCCCTGGGGTCCAGGCAGGGGAGGGTCTAGGCAAAGGCGCGGCGGCAGGCGCTTGGGGAGCGCCAAAGGACCGCCCGCCCGAGCGTCCTGTCGGAGGGCGCAGGCAGGAGGCGGCGGCTCGCAGCCGGCCCACTCTCCTCCATCTCTCTCCCGCTCGCCGGCTTTTGTAAGCTGCAAGGAGGGTGCGCTGACGGAGGAGGGGGGCCTGGGGAGAGAGGCACCCCCTTCACGCGCGCGCGCGCACACGTTGCCGGCGCACGCACACACGCGCGGACATACACTCACAGACACGCACACACACACACGCACAAAGCTCGCTCGCCTCGAGCGCACTAACGTGGCCGTTTTCTTTGTGTGGAGCCCTCGAGGGGGGTTGGGGCCCGGGTCCGGTCCGGGGGAGATGGCGCAGCCCATCCTGGGCCATGGGAGCCTGCAGCCCGCCTCGGCCACTGGCCTGGCGTCCCTGGAGCTCGACTCGTCGCTGGACCAGTACGTGCAAATTCGCATCTTCAAAATCATCGTGATTGGGGACTCCAACGTGGGCAAGACCTGCCTGACCTTCCGTTTCTGCGGGGGGACCTTCCCAGACAAGACTGAGGCCACCATTGGCGTGGACTTCAGGGAGAAGACAGTGGAAATCGAGGGCGAGAAGATCAAGGTGATCCAGACGGTCAGGTCCGGGAAGGGAGGGATCTGGGAGGGGGCCTCTGCTGAGGCATCGCTCTGGCGGTTGTAAACGTCCAGCGCGTGGTTGTGTCGCCGCTGGCTGAGCCCAAGACCCTGGCAGCTCCTCAGATCCCCTTTCGCCTCTCTCAGTGGCCTGGTTCCCACCTCACCCGTTTTGGTTTTTTGTTTGTGTTTTTTTTTGTTGTTGTTGTTTTTGTTTTTTAGGGCTGGCGGGAGTGGTTACACTCCTGCCCTTTGCCCCTGCCTGACATCTGCCACAGGAAAATCTTGTCTGATACCATCTTTGACCCTGAGCCAGGAGCAGTGGCACCTGTGGGCAGAGGGAGGCATGAGGCATCTCTTGGTTCTGGTCTGTGGGATGGATCCCAAAGCACTTTACACATCCTGAGGTCTCTTCTACCTCTTGGGTGCGAATGGGCTGCAAGAACATACTTGGGCTTAGCCCTGAGGCATTAGAGAGGGGGAAAAGACAGAAATCCGTAGTGAATGAGAACCCCTTTATTTCAAAATAGAGCCCTGCATAACACCACCAGCCCCGCATAACAAACTTGTTCTCTTGGAGCAGTCTCTCTCCAATGATATCTTCATTTGTCTGTGATACCTAATGAATGAACTGCTTCATTACTCATTCTGTTGGTATTGTCTTCAGCAGGCCTTTGTAAAAATGCAGAGCAACTTATCTGGAGGCCAAGGAAAAGTGTCTTGCTCCTCCCCCCTCATTAGTTTATTTATCAAGTAGGCTAAGTACAGATATTCTTATCTGACCACTTATGCTCACTTTAGTTCAGGAAAGGTAGAAACCCGATAGGACAGAAATAGTTCAATATGCAGAAATATTTCTATGTGCAGAAGGAGGACATGGCAAGGGCAGCTTCCTGTGACAGGAAAGCACAGGGGGCAGGATGATGGGCAGGAATGTACCTCAAAAGGCATTGGGTACTAAAGGCCATCTCCCCTAGGCCCACAGCTGGGCTTTTCTCAAGGCTATGGTCTGACCCTGTCAGGTGAAGGTCAGTCCCTCCTGCTGGTCAAAGAGCCCAAGTGACCCCAAGACCCCTCTTCTGGGTGATGTGGAGAGAAGGGCTGAGTAGTATTAGGGAGAAGGATGAAACCCTCTGAACTGTACATAGCTCTGGATTCCTTGATTATTAAAATGAATATGTTTTATTTTATTATTATTATTTCTTGAATGAATGTGTTTTAAAATGGCTTCAGAGACTGGGCCAAGGCACTAGACGTCAGGAAGATGGGCAGCTCAGTCCTGGTAAGGGAGAGCTCTGGAGAACAAGTGAGTCCTAGGGTCAGGAAAATAGGGCACTGTTTTGAGATAGTGACCTTTTTGTCCCTTGCATTTTGAGGGGAATTGCTACATTTCCTTTCTAAGTCAAAAGTAGCTATCTGTCTCTATCCTTTCCTAGGGCTCATCTGTTGAGGTTTACTTCGTTTGGACTTTCTGTGGTGTGTCTAACTTCTTTCATGCAAGGTTCTAAGATTCTGGAATTTCTAAAACATGCCTTTTTTAAAAATCCAAAGTGGGAATATACTTATGGATGTGCTCTTAAACCCTCAAAGACCTTAACACTTAATGCTATTGCTTGCTTAAAATCAAGTGTCCCATTGAGGCAAAGAGTTTTCTGGATTTAAAAGAGGGGAAATAAGTCTACCTGAAATTCATATGGCAGAAAAAGGAAGTGTTTGGGAGTTTGGGGGAGGGAGGGAGGAGAGAAGATGGGAGGAGAGGAGAGGAGAGGAGAGGAGAGGAGAGGAGAGGAGAGGAGAGGAGGAAGCCTGAAAGTGGGAAATGGGAGGGAAAAACAAGTGGAAGAGGGCCACTGCCCAGTGGCCTTGGAGAGATTTTTAAGACTCCTTCCCTTCTAACACCCCAGTATTTAGTGAAACTGGATTTCACAGTCTTGGCCAAAGATTCCAGGCTTTTTCCCAGAGGGCAGAGCCTGTGACGGTGTGACTCACCAGAAACAGAGCTCAGCACAACACCATGTGCCCATAAGTGCTTAATACAGGCTTTTTTGGGAAGATGATATTTCAAGAGGGCAGAGCCTTGTGACACTGCTCACAGAGGAGCCCTCCGAGTGCAGATTCTGAAGAAGCTCAGGGTACGGGCGGGGGCGGAGACTGGGTGACCCTGTCCCCTGTGAAGCTGTTGCAGCCGGGGCCCAAGGCAGCCGGTGAGAGCAGCATGTCCGTGGGAAGATGGCAGAGCGCAGCAGCTAGCACATGATCTAGAAAGGAGGAGATTTTGCCCCACACTCTGGCTGGCTTGGAGTTTTTCAGGGAACAAATGCTAAACCCCTGCTAGGAGGTGACTGTTAAAGCCTTTCCCATTTGGGGGAGGGAGAGAAGTGCAGTGTGACAGGCTGAAGTTGCCCTAGACCATAGCCAGAGATAAGAGGCTGGGAGGCCGCAAGTGCCAGCATCCACAGGCGAATGGTGGAGAGGTCTCTGCTGGCTCTTCCTTCGGCCCAGGAGTGGGGTGTGGCCTCTACTGGGCTGTCTCCCCAGGTCCCAACCTGTGCAGGGGGATGGATGACTGAGTTATCAGATTGGGGGCTGCTCTCATAATTACCAGAGCCATTTTTAGGGCTTCAAAGCCCCATTTGGTGTCTCCAGTCCATGGATCCCCGCCCCCTTTTGATCACAATATTTATAATCCAGTGTTTCCTGGTTAACATGAACATCCAGGAAAGCTTCCAATGAGTACATAATAATAGTAATAATAATAATAACAACAACTGCTATTTATTTACTAAACCAAGAGCCCCAGCTAGGCGCTTTGCATGAACTAATTTGATCTTCACAGATGCCTTATGCAAATCAGACTATTATTATCATTCCTATTTTATAGATGCGGAGACCAAATGTAGGTTAAATACCTTGCCTAAAAGGGCCTGGATCGGAGCTCCAGTCTTTGACCACTGAGCCCAAGCACTTCTCTGTCTCACTACCCTGCTTTCCCTGGGACAGGGTCAGGATTTCTACATGGATTCAGAGCCCGTGTTCTTTACTACTGCCCTCTGCTCTGGGGGTGATCTCTGACCCAGGGCAGTGTGCTCAGCGGGGGGTGGCAGGCGGGGCAGCCAGCCTTGTGGGCTCTTGTAGGCCAGGGGCCCAGGGTTATAGCCCTAGAACTGAGGAGCCTTCAAGACGTCTCCTTCAGCTCCACCCCAGATACCGAATTGAGTGCCTGGGTTTTACTTTTTGCACCTTGACTGTCTCCCTTTGCATGTGGAGAATCAGAGAATGTCCAGAGATGGAAGAGACCTTAAAGAATCTCTAATCCAATGTCCTCACTTAACAGATAGGAAACTGAGGCTCAGAGAGGGAAAGTGACTTGCCCAAGATCACACAGGGACAGGCCTACTACTCAGGTCTCCCCATTCCCTGGCCAGTGCTCTTCTCTCGCAATTTGGGCTAGTCCCATGGTGTGCCCAACCCATGCAGTTACCTGTGACAGGAACACAGAGGGGCATGATGTAGGAAAGATCACAGACAGCTCTTCCTGACAGCCTAGGAAGTGTGGAGGCATTCCTTGACCCCTAAGGAAGAGTGGAGCTTCCTTTACTGACATGATATGTCCATCTCCTACAGGTTTACCTCCATCATGCTGAGCTTGCCTCCGCCTAAAAGCACTGGAAAATGCCAAATAGGAGTGTGTGTGGGATGGAATGGGGAGGTAAGAGAGGGGAGGCTCAGAACTAATTTTGAGCCATTCTTTGTAAATTCTCATGGAATTTACCCTTGCTTCTGGCTAGTTTGCCCCCCCCCACCCAACAGCTAGGCACCCCCTCTGCCCTAGCCCTCCAGACCAGGCAAACTGCATGTAGCCATGGCCGTGGGCAGGTGCTACCCAGGACTGCGGACTCTTCTTCTGCTGAGCACTTGGACCAACACCTTCCCGTGTTACATTACTGAGCGGACAGAGGCTGAGCTAAGTGTTCCCTCAGAAGCTGCCTGCAGTCAGAATGACATCATGTCTTCCTTAGGGCTTCTGAACTTCCATCTTCTGGCAGTTGACTTAATGGCTAATTATCTATCAGTGCGTGTTTTTCTGTCTGCCTTGCTGCCTCTCCTTCTGCGCGTGAGTTTCTCTTTGTCTCTCTCCTCCTTTGCCATTCTCTGTGTCAGTCTCTTGTGTGAATGGGTGTGTATCTTAGATGCAGATGGGACAGTCCAGCTAGTTCAAAAAAAGATTTGTTTTAGACTTTTCTCATCATCCACTCAGGCATCCTCCAAAGGTTACAGATGTATTTGTCTCCCTTTTTCTACTTCTACCCTCCCCCACCAGCCTCCAACAAAAGGACATTCATGCCTCATCTATAGAAAGATACCAGATATGTTCCCCAGGGAAAAGAAATACCCATGTCAGCTAAGAGCACGTGCAGGGGTGGGGGACTTGCTGAAACTTGCTCAGGCAGCGATAACCCCAGGAAAATGGTTTAAAAGGCTAGATTTATCTTTGGCAGCTCCCCACACTGCGCCCCTCGACCCTCCTCCAACACCCCTGTCACTTTGGGCCTGCCCCCAACCACCCATGGCATGTTGCTAGCATTACTCTCTTCTCCCCCTCCCAAGTGGCTGCCTTTGCTTTGGCTCTAGCCAGTCATCAAGAAACCAAACTTCCTGTGCTTTCCAGGAGGAGAACAGTGGATCCAAGGACTGGTGCCACTAGGATGGCCAATGGGTCTTCTGAGACAATGGCAACAACTGGCACTTGCAGAACACTTGTATTTGGCAAACGCTCTTTCTTGTGTGTTGATTTGCCTAGTCATTTACTCCACTACTAAGTAAAGGAGGTGGAAACCAGGTCTCTCAATTCCAAGGCTACTGCTGCTGCATTTCCCATAGCACCTGCTCAATTAGTTGTCAGACCAGACTTGGTTTTGGGCCAGGGAGGAAGGGAGAATGTGTATTAGGCATTGTGTCTTGTACTTACAAGAAACACTAATCCTTACAGCATCTCCACAAGACTGCTGAGGTTATCCTCAGTTTGCAAGGGAGGACACTGAAGATAGAGTAACTTGACTAAGGACACTTGACTAGTAATAGCACGAGACTGTGCTGAGGTTTGTGCCCAAGTTGGTTTTCCTCCACTACGCCCCCACTAGGCCTTGGAGAGGACAGAAGATGGGGAGCAGTGTGTGGCTAAGGGGCAGTCAGCACCCCTGGCTACTGTGCGGACACAGTGCCCACAGGAAAGGAAGAATGGACGAGAGGAGTACCCCCTGGGAAGCATAAGGAGATGTTTTCACTGTCTGGCAGGGATGGGAGGTTTGGGAGGATGCTAAGAACGGGGACACCAAATCCCCAAACAAAATGAGGTCATTTGTGTGCAGCCATTTGGCTGTTGTGCTCTCCCTTTGTGATTGATGGTTCTGAGGCCACACCATCCATTCCGATTTTCTGCTGTGAGCAGCCTGCTAACTGGCTCACTGCTGGCCATAGACAGGGGTGCAGAGAACTTTAGGGTGGGGTTTACAAGGAGGTGGAGTGGGAGCAGTGCTACAGTTTAAATTCTGAGCCTCCAAACGAAAGCTTCAGGGCTCCCCATGGCATTGGAAAGGTGAGGGAGGTCTATAGCAGAAAGGGTCTTCCCCGCAGCTCCGGCAGTTTGGATGGGGTATACAATTCTGGAGCCAAAGAAAAGCCAAACAGCCAACCTACTCAGCCCCAAACACCTCACACACGCCCACCCGTGTTCCTGCTAGTGGCAGGTATTTTTAGAGTTCTGAGCTCATGGTGTTAAAGCATCTGCCACATGCCTGAGGGCTGGTCGGGATTCAGCCTTACTCAGAGGCAGGAGTTAGGACTACTGGAGGGTGGGGGTGGGGCTCAGGAGCCAAGCGGTAATGATATTCTTGTGCTATACCCGCGCTCTTCCCACTGACCTCTATTCCTTTCCTGGCCCGCTATCCCTTTCTCCCTGCTCAGAGCACTGGCAAGGTGGAAGAAATGAAATCTTTTCTGTCTCTGCTTTCTGACGCAAATCAGTGTTCAGGGACCTGTTTTTCTGCTTAACCAAACTCGAATGTTCTCTCTGAAATCACCTTGGCAGATATGTAGTTTTGGTGGCTCAGGCCAGTACTGCTTTTTGATGATGATTATGATGAGGATGACGATGATGATGATGGTGACGGCAACGATGGTGACAAGTGATCTGATGCAGAAAAACAACTGCTTACAAGTTTGGGTGGAGAAATGCCAAGAGCACTGATGAAATAACTAGAGAACAAATAATATATTCTAAGTGGTGTGTTACTGGGGTGCCAGGGTGGCTCAGTCGGTTAAGCATCAGCCTTTGGCTCAGGTCCTGGGATTGAGGCCTGTGTCAGGCTCCCTGCTCAGCAGAGAGCCTGCTTCTCCCTTTCCCCCACCTCTCCCTCCTGCTTGTTCTCTCCCCCTCCCCAGTAAATAAATAAAATCTTTAAAAAAATAAATGGTGTGGTACAGACTCAAAGTGCAATAGAAAGTTTTAAGAAAAGAAAATTAAAGAGAAGTTGGAGAAAAGTGGAGTTTTAGGAAGAAGGCAGATGTGAGCTGAGCCTTGAAGGATGAGTGAGACGCAGGGCAATGAGGCAGTGCCCAGTTTCTGCTGGGGAAGGACAGACTAGCACGAGGGAATGAACTGGGTGTAGCCCAACAGTCCGAAACCAGGCTGGATGGGGCCAAATTATGACAGAGATTTTTCCATTTGATGCCACATGCAGAAGAGGGCTGTCATGGTTTCCTGAAGAGGGGGATGTCATGCTTATAGGAGCAGGGTTTTAGGAAGGCTAGTTTGGAAGCAGTATGTAGGAAGCACTGGAGTGGAGACTTCTAGAATCCAAAAGACTCTACAGTAGTCCAGCAGTGAGGAGAGGACGGTCTGGCCTAGGGACATGAAAATCAAAATAGAATGGGAGAATTTGATAATCATGCCAAAGGAATGTGGCAGTCATGTCCCTAGAGGAGAAGAAGGGGAGCCTGGACAATGAAAACTGGTGTTCAAAATGATGAGGACTCTGGGGCCCTGTAAGATCTTCATTCAGCAAAGAGATTCAATTATATTTACCAGATACTGACTGACTGACTGCTAACTCCAAATAAAGGCTATACTTGGTTTTAAGAGCTGTAGTAGTCAATTAGTGACCATAACCCAATTCTCTTTAATAACTGAAAATTATATAGGGCCTTGGGACCATCATTCTGAGTATGAATTTCTCTTGTCCAAGACTTTGGATGTATAAAGGGAAATAGATGGGGCTGAATGTGTGTCGATTTGAGGGTATCCCTTGGGAGTTATATCTTTGGAAACTTTGTTCCTGATATCAGCATTTTTCCTTCATAATTTGGCCTTCATCCCAAAAGCTGAGAGGCAGAAGAAAAATCCAGTGAACTAAATTACCTTTTATATACCAAACAATAAGCTAAAATAAGCTAAGAGGTGAGATTTTTAACACTAACTTTAAAAAGTCATGCAAAAACCGCAAGACAAAGTGATATATGTTTTTAGTAGAAAATTTGGAAAATACAAAAAAAAAGACCATTTATCACCCATGGCCCATAAATAACCATTAATCTCCTGGTAAGTATACTTCCAGTCTTTCCTAGGCATATGTCTATATTTAATATTTTTCTGAAAAACTGGAACCATAGTACATGAAAACTTTGTATCCTGCTTTTTTCATTCCTGATATTTTATGAAAATTTCCACCATTTATTCCTTGAAAACATCATTTTTAATGTCTGCATAATGGTCCATTGTATAGATATGTACATACACTTTAGCTATTCTCTTACTGAGCTTTTAGATTATTTCCTGTTTTTTAAAAAGTATATATAATACTACAGTTAAGACTTTTGTACAGAATTTTGACATCTCTGCTATTTTATTTAGATATCTGGAAGTGAGATTATTGGCTTGAAGAATTTTGAGTATTTTTAAGGTTCTGGATAATATTGCCAAATTGCCCTCCAGAAAAGTTCACCAATTTACACTCATTTTTCAAATAAAAGCCTTAAGATTTTTTAAAAAAAACATTTATTTATTTATTTATTTGACACATACAGAGAGAATACAAGCTGGGGGAGAAGCAGGGTCCCGCTGAGCAAGGAGCCTGACATAGGGCTCAATTCCAGGGCCCTGGGATCATGACCTGAGCCAAAAGCAGATGCTTAACCAACTGAGCCACCCAGGCGCCCTAAGATTTTTTGACTCAAGATTTTCAACTAGAACGATCTATCTATCTATCTATCTATCTATCTATTTATTTATTTATTTGACAGAGAGAGATCACAAGTAGGCAGAGAGGCAGGCAGAGAGAGAGGGGGGAAGCGGGCTTCCTGCTGAGCAGAGAGCCCGATGCAGGGCTCGAGCCCAGGACCCTGGGATCATGACATGAGCTAAAGGCAGAGGCTTTAACCCACTGAGCCACCCAGGCGCCCCTCAACTAGAACTTTTAAGAAAAATTTTATAAACCCTGAGAGAAACTTCTCTCTACACTTTGATATGTCTACTCTGCCAGTCTGTGTCAGGGCTTCTCACCACATTTTTGTTTTTTAAAGATTTTTATTTGTCAGAGAGAGAGAGAGAACGAGCAAGTGCATCAAGCAGGGGGAGCAGCAGGCAGAGGGAGAAGCAGCCTCCCTGCTGAGCAAGGAGCCCAACTCCAGATTCATCCCAGGACTCTGGGATCAAGACCTGAGCTGAAGGCAGACACAACTGACTGAGCCACTCAGGCGTCCCTCTTACCACGTTTAAGATAACAGAATCGAGTTTTCTTCTATGTATTCTTGTTTTCTTTACTGACTCCACATATGGGTTTTGTATCTTCCAGGTTCAGGTGTGGGACACAGCAGGTCAGGAACGCTTCCGCAAAAGCATGGTCGAGCATTACTACCGCAATGTGCATGCAGTGGTCTTCGTCTATGACGTCACCAAGATGACATCCTTCACCAACCTCAAGATGTGGATCCAAGAATGCAATGGGCATGCTGTGCCCCCACTAGTCCCCAAAGTGCTTGTGGGCAACAAGTGTGACTTGAGGGAACAGATCCAGGTGCCCTCCAACTTAGCCCTGAAATTTGCCGATGCCCACAACATGCTCTTGTTTGAGACTTCGGCCAAGGACCCCAAAGAGAGCCAGAACGTGGAGTCAATTTTCATGTGCCTGGCTTGCCGATTAAAGGCTCAGAAATCCCTGCTCTATCGTGATGCTGAGAGGCAGCAGGGGAAGGTGCAGAAACTGGAGTTCCCACAGGAAGCTAACAGTAAGACTTCCTGTCCCTGTTGAAACCAAATGGTGTAAATACAAGATCCATTATTACTGGAGTTTTTTCTTTCCCTTTTTTTCCGTGCCCGCCTAACGCTGACACCTGCTTGTTTCCATACAAATTGATATTAAAATAAAATTTGTATAGATTATCACATGCCTTCATGTCTTGCTTTCCTCCAGGAAGACATTTCTGACTGTGCTGAGTAGAAGAGCAGCCCGCCCTCCTAGAGCGGTACACTTGGCCAAGGCACACTCCCTACCAGCCTTCTATGCCACCTGAATCATTTGAGTCACTTCTTCAGGACTAATTCGCTCTGTCACTCAGTGTTATCAGTGGGCAAAAACACCCAGAGGGGGTGGGATACAGGCCAGATATGTTTTTCTATGGTGCCCATGGAAGTGGAGGATAGAGAAGTCTTGAAAGGAGATGTTGACTCATAAATATTTCCTAGGTTGCCTGGATGTCAAGAGTAGGTGGCTCTCTCCTTATCTCCCAAAGCTTAAAAATAAAAAGTATAGATTTCCCAAGGGGCTCAGTTGCTTCCAAAGTAGTTAAATCCTGCTTCCCATATTTTACCACACAGTCTCTGACACCCGGAGTGGTATTTCTTGAAGAGGGCAGGGCTCAAGCCAACAATCTGTTATGTCCCCAGATCCGTGCTGGGTGCTATGGAGGAAACAGCAAGAAAAGGATTTGTCCCCTATGTTCAAAAACCCTCTGATCTTGTGGGAAAAGACACGAACTACTTGTGAACAAAAATTAGACAATGACCTCACCAAATTCAAGTCTGTGCTCTGGGAATTGAGAGCGTTATGTACTCAACATTAGGAAGGAGTCACTGAAAAATAACTGACCTTATTTTGTATATTGAGTAAAATGTTACATTTGGATTGGTAAAGAGGAGGGGACTGGGACAAAGTGGCTTTGGGGGTTGAGTGAAAGAACAAGAGCTGAGCAGCCGTAGTGGGGAGCTAAGGATGAGGAAGCCTACACAAGATGCAGGACAGTTTGTTGCTCTTTGAGTCACTGGGAGTTTTTGGTGGCTTTCCAGCAGGAGTCCTGTAGGTTATTTCGAAAATGTCTGGTCCTATGGATGTGAAAGCCCCTTGTCCAATTGTTAAAGCAACTAAGAGTGGCTATGAAGGCATAGCTACCATAGCCCCAGGTAGACTTCGCTGTTTCAGGGGTGCTCCGTAAGGCTCCTCTCTTGTCAGAAGCCCACAGAAAGAGGGTCCCAGGCTGACAGCCCCCAAGCACTTTCCTCTGGTAGGTGAATTCAGATCTGTCTCCCGTCCTCCTCCCCGTCAGCCCAGTGAAAGTTCATACATACCAGATGCGCTTCCCACCCAAACAAGTAGCCTGCCTGGTCTTGCCTAGTTGTCCCTACAATGCTCTTCCTCCAGAGGTGGCTAACTCCCCACCCCATCTCCATCCCAGTCCCCACCTGGCCTCAGGCTAAGCCCCCAGTCTGGTTTTCATCACTTGGCTTCTGCCTGGATCCATCTTTGGAGCCTGCCTTGTACCCTGGTTAGGGCTGTGTTTTCTTACTAGTTGTCCCTACCCAATGCCCTACCCTGAAATCTCACCCAACGGGCTGGGATCCTGTTGTCTGTTGGTGAACTGCCTGCCGAAAACCCTGTTGCTATGCTTCTCCCCAACAGAACCTTGGGTCTTGTCTCAGACTTCAGATACTGGCTCCTTACCCAGGACCGCTCTTGTGGTGTCTTTTTGGCTCCTGACTTGGCTGCAGGGCCGGGCCATCTTTCAGTGGCCGCAGGTACACCTGTCCATTCTAGTGGGTTGACATTTCAGTCCGGGTCCTGACCTGTGTTGGTCAAGGACCTTCTTTGCTGTAACAGGGACAAATAACATTCCGAGTCCTCTAACCAGGATTGCCTCTTCTAGACCTGAATTGCCTCTGACACCTTTTAGGCATTCAACAAACATGTATTGAGCATCTACTATAAGCCAGTGTGCTAAGCCCTTGGGATATGTAGATGAACAATATAAAATCCTGCTCTCATAAAGGAGGTAGATACTAAAAAAGAAATGAGATCCACAATGAGAGAATTTGAGAGTAATAAGGAGTCTGAGGGCCATAAAATAGGGTAAATGGAAAGGAAGTGAGGAAGTGGGTGGGAGGGCAATGTATTAGACAAAGTGAACACAAAAGATACCTTTGAAGTGATAATGTTTGAGCTGAGACCCAAATGAAGAAAAGCAACCAGGAATGAGGTCAGAAAGAGAACCCTAAGCGGAGGAAAGAGCAAATGCCAAGGCCCTGAGGCAGAAGTGAGGTTGGCATGTTTGAGGAACAGCAAAGAGTCTAGTGTGAGCAAGGGGGGAAATATGGGAGGAGAGGTTGAGAAGTAGGTAAGGCCGGATCTATTGGCTGGGATTTTATTTAAGTGCAGTGGGAAGCCAGTGGAAAGTTTTAGCATAATCTAGACCCAATAACCTTTGCAAAGATTCAGCAGGCTTGCTGACCAGCAAGAAAGAGGGAAAAGGCTCTACTTTTCTGGGCTCCTCTGAGAGGAATAGACACCCTTCGTCTGTAACTCCTGACTGTGCACCTCAGGGCTGTCGTTTCCATGCTGGCTGGCCCCCATCTTAAAAAACCAGACTCTGAACTTTCCCGAGACTATCATCTTTTGGTCCTGCCAAGGCTCTGGTAATTTTGCTGTGACTAGGAGGCACTCACCGATCCTACCTGGCTCTGTCCTCTGAGCCTCACCTACGTGATCCTGCCCTTTCCTGCAGTAATGACTGTGCTCTCCCCCAGGTACCTGGGAACAGAGAATCCTGAGAATCTCTAGGCTTCACCCAGTCTCTTAGCCCTAGAATTTTCTGCTGGCATCAGCAGGGTGCACAATGGTGCTCAGGCCTCCATCAGATTGAGCAAAAGGATTTGGGAATGGGCTGTTCCCAGAATGCAACCAGAGGGAGGGGACTCAGGAGGCCAGAGAACCATGACACCCTTGTTGTCGTGAGGGTGATGAGAAGCAGAAAAAATCAAGTGAAGTGAGGTACTTCCAGGCCTCGCATTCAGCCTCATTATGTCTCTGGAATGATCCATGACGGCCAGGATGTCTCCTGTACAGCTCTTCTTTACTTTTCGGAGCTATGCCCTTGAGTCTTCACCTGTGTAACAGAGACAGGACCCAGAGTAATAACGACCAACATTTGAATGCCTATTGTATGCTGGGCCCTGTGCTAAAACACTACGTTCCTTCACTAGCTCATTTAATGCTCCCTCGACCCTATGAGGTGGGGATAATGATTTCCTTTTTACATATATGAATATAGATGTGCTGACAGATTTAGTGACTTGTCCGATATAGTAAGAGTGGCAAAGTGAGATCTGTCTTACTTAAGTCTAGGTTCTTTCTATGATATTATACTATCTTTCTAGCCAGTTCCAAGCTCCAGAATCCTTGCAGGGATTGTGGGTTCACTCTAGCTGGTCCCACTGACCCATGGGGGTTTGGCAAGCAAGTCATTCAATATCCAGGAGGGAACATTCCTCCTTGAATGGGATGCCCCGACCAGGTCTCTGCAAGAAGCCCAAGTGGCTGGCGGAATTGTCAGCTCTGAGCCAAAGAAGTCCCAAGATAGCCCTGCCTTGGACAAGAGCTGGGAACCACACAGATAGCTGGATTCTGCTGCTCAGCCTTTGGGGCTGCAGGGTATCGTCACTGGTCCCCTACCCCCAAAACTATCCCTCTCCCAGTATCTGTGCATTTGCTCAGGCCCCCAGATTCAGCCTGATGACTTGCTTTGGCCAAGTTCAATGAAGTTGAGGACTGTCTCAGTGGGATCCTTCAGTCAGGGGGCCCAAGAGCAGAAGCTGCTCTGAGCACCACCACCTAGAGCAGTGGCCAGGAGGGATACCCAGCCCAGAATAGCTGGAGAAGCCCAACCTGCGTGTGGGGTGGGGATGGAGGGTATGGAGATGTGCTGAGAGCTCCCTGGATCACAAGGCTCAGCTTCTCTAGCAACTTCAAGTGGCAGATGCAGAAAGAGGTCAGTGATTATCTTCTTGTAACACCTGAGGGGACAGAGTCACTGCTTTAACTTACAGGCTCTCCTCCACTCACCATCCCACATGCCCGCACTGGGAGAGGCCTTGTTTTCTCTGGAAGGTCTGGCCTAGGCTGCACTGGTTTCAGATCTTGTTCTGACTCCAAGTCCCCTTGAATATCCATGACCCTAACAACTGGCGCTGGGACAGCAGGACCGAGATAAGGGTCCCAGAAATTCCCTTAGATTAGCAACTCCCAAATGCAGGCTCATAGCCAACTGCATGAACGCACTTGGCAAATTGTTAAAATGCAGATTCCTGGGATACTAGCTCCAGACACTCTGATCCACTAGATCTCAGGGCAGGGCTCAGGATTGTCCCTAATTGCTTCTCATGGGCCTCCCAGGTCTCTTCTTTCTGGCGCATGTTCTCTCTCTGTGGGTAGCCGGGTGTCCCCAAGGTTTCCTGATGAACTCTCAAATCAGAAACTGCCTTTCCCAAGCCAGAGCTTCAAAACTAGTCATCTGGGCTACCACAGAACCCAGCCACTCTGAGGACCACTCCATACAAGACACAGATTGATAATTCAATAGAGACTGCACATCTGCTGTGTGCCCTCTGCTGGTTAAAATTCGTGAAGCTTGGAAAGTGTATACCAGTAGGAGTTTTTCTGACTGGTACTGACTATTTCTTCGGTTGAAAACCTATACAGAAGGAGCTAATCCTGGTCCCAGTCTGGGCACACAGACACCTGAAACTAGAAGGGTTACTAATTTAAAAAAATAGCTTTATTGAGGTGTAAGTGATATATAAAAAACTGAACATATTTAATTTATACAATGTAATGAGTTTGAGCATAGGCATACCCATAAAATCATTACCACAATCAAGGTAATAAACATATCCATCACCTCCAAGTTTCTTTGTGCCCTTATTTTTTGTGTGTGTGGTAAGAATGCCTAAAATTTGTTAAGAGGGGAGATCTCATGTTAAGGGTTACTCTACAAAGTAAGCTACCTCTACCAAAACTAGGGCTCACCTCTCCCAAGGGAAATCTGCAGACCCTGGTAGGAACTACTAGCATGGCAGCAAGGAGAAAGAAGAGACATTGCAAAGCACCTCACCTTCCCAGGGAGCTAGATTTTAAAGCTGGGTGGGTAAGGAACCCTGAGAGTCGTAGAAGATACCATTGAGGGCACAAGAATATTCCTCTACACCAGCTGAAATGAACTGCAAAATGGACCTCAGGACCTGAGCTGACTCTATAGCTGGTACTTAATCCCTTTCCTAGTGATTAAGTACTGTGACTCTCTGCATTTAATTTTAAAGTACTGGAGAAAGTGTCAGGTAAAAGAATGGATAAGAAATGTGGCACACCTGATCCTTACCCACCAATCCCAGATGGAAATCCCAATGTTTCAGATAAAGAGGATGCACCCCAGGTATTGTGATTTTGCCTATCCTTCCAGGGAGGTCATTATATGGGAAGAATATCAGACCTAGCCTAGTTTCTAACTAGGCTAGAATATCAGACCTAGCCTAGCCAACTGAAATAATACAATTATAAATGGCAGCTAATTTTTTTAAAATTCTAACTAGGCTAGAATATCAGACCTAGCCTAGCCAACTGAAATAATACAATTATAAATGGCAGCTAATTTTTTTAAAAAAGGATTTTATTCATTTATTTGATGGAGAGAGAGATCACAAGTAGGCAGGGAAGCAGGCAGAGAGAGAGAGGAGGAAGCAGGCCCCCCGCTGAGCAGAGAGCCCGACGTGGGGCACGATCCCAGGACCCTGAGATCATGACCTGAGCCAAAAGCAGGGGCTTAACCCACTGAGCCACCCAGGTGCCCCATGGCAGCTAACTTTTTAAAAAAAAATTTTTATTTGAGACTGTGAGAGAGACAGATCATGAGGAGAGGGGAGGGGCAGAGGGAGAAAGAAACTCCCCACTGAGCAGGGAGCCCAATGTGGGACTCGATCCCAGGACCCTGGGATCATGACCTGAGCCAAAGGCAGATGCTTAACCGACTGAGCCACCCTGGTGCCCAACATTGTTTACTATACACCAAGTACCCAGTTATGTGCTTAACATGGACTATCATGTATAATCCTCACAATAAGCTGTGAAGCATTGGACGATCAAAGTAGCTTGCCCAGGGTCACAATGCTGCCCATGGTTAGAGCAGGGTATGACCAAGATCTGTCTAACTGCAGAGCTAGTCACAATGCTAACTTCTCTTATTCTTCTCTATTTCTCTCAAGCCCAAGAGGAGGGTGTGTTCCTGTGCCTGGGACTAAGGGCTCCACCCCTGCTCCATTTAGGACTAAGTAGTAGATGAATTGGGAGTTGATGCTAGATGCCAGGTCTTGAACTGGTTTCTTTGAACTGAACTATTTGCTCAGGTAAAGGCCCAGAACCTGGGGATAGGGACTGAGTAGGTAACCAAGGACCAAACTCCCCTGGATGGGAGGGCAGGATAGGGAGATGGAAAGACTAGGAATGGGTTGGCTCTAACAATCGGAACTGTTTTTGTTCAAAAGAGGTATTTTAGAAGAGCTTCCTGCACCATTTGAATTGGGAAGAAACGACCCCTAAGATGCTTTCCAGTTTTCCATTCCTGTGAACAACAGTGTGATCACACATTAATTTTTTTTCAATGTCCACATGTATTTTAAGCCACCTATGAAGATAATGCAGTTTTAGGCCTCTGAATAAGGATTGCCTATTTGTCCGCAGATCAGAAGTCAGCTTTGAAATCATGCATATCTTTTATTAATGAAAATGCTCAGATTTGACTAAACTGGGGCAGGGAGGATAGTGTTTCTGTAATATGAACAAGTCAGTACTTCCTGATACTATTTTCAGAATGACAACTGTTTAAAATCACTTCACATTGTGGTCTTTAGGACATTTGATTTAATCAATAAAACAACTGGTTAAATAGCCTAGTTTTCTAAGCTTGAGATATTTACTGATTCACTCAAAAATTCTTATGCTACAGGGGTGCTCGGGCGCTCAGTTGGCTGGGCATCCCACTCTTGGTTTCAGCTCAGGTCATCACCTCGGGGTTGTGGGACTGAGCCTGGCATCAGGCTTCGCGCTCAGCAAGGAGTCTGCCTGTGATTCTCCCTCTCCTTCTTCCTCTGCCCCTCCCCTCCACTTGCGTGTATGTGCACTCTCTCTCTCTCTCAAATAAATAAACAAACCTTAAAAGAATTCTTATGCTCAAAGGCTCTGAAGATTTGCTAGATAGAATTATCCCATTCTATTCTCAAAAATTTTATGAAGAAAAGAAACCTGTACAACTTAAATGTTCCTTCTACATTATAATTAATTTAGTCAGGTAGATATACTGGAGAAGATGGAAAGTGGGAAGGAGATAAGAGGCAAACAGGGCAATTCCAAGACTGAGTAACAGTATCTTTAACCTCTGAAAAAAGGGAACTTCTTAATCATTTCAAAGTCCTACAAAAGAAAAAGGCCACTTTTCTGTTGGTATCTACAATTACACTTTCCCGCAAAATTAATAGTATTGGACAAGTAGCCGAGATTCCTGGAAATGAATTCCTGGTAATAATTACTAAAAAGCCTCCCATAAGGAAAGGATTCTCTAATCCCAAAAGACATGTTTTTCTCCAAAGCAGACTGGATGCTAAACTAGTTCTCAACAAGGAAGTGTCACTTCATAGCCTTTACGCGGAACTATACTCATTACCAAGGTTGGGGAATTAAACCACGTGTAACTGAGGCGCTGTGATAGAACAGCCTCCACCCAGCAGTTCAGGGAAATGTATTGCAAGACCTGGGAACAGAACACAAAGTTCCAGATAACCACAGTGCGGATGGACTGCCAGGAAAACTGTCAAGGAGAAGATTTCACTGACGAGTAGCTTCCAGGGTCTCCTCTCAGCAGTGGTAATAGCAGTAACAGCAACGAAAGCAGGAATAGCCGCAGGAAGAGCACTAACATGAGTGGTAGTGGTGGGAGCAGCAGCATTTATCAAATGCCTACCTTTTGTCAAGCCAGTGCCAAATCCTACACACACATACACACACTCTAATTGTTATAGCAAACTTTTGAGGAAGTCGTCATTATAGACCTTTCGCTGATGAGAAAGCTGAGGCTCGAGGTTGTTTGAGGCTACACGACTGGTTAGACATAAAATCGGGATTTAAACCCAAGACTGTCTTATTTCAAGGCTTAGCTCTATGTACACGAGCATACATCACAGCAGTATGGATAAATTGGCATTTTAAGTGTGAAGGATTACAAACAATAGAAGAGATACACCTTGGCCTCTCTGAGTTTGTTGAGGACAGCAAGGTTTTCGGGGGCGGGGGGGGGGGGAGTCAAAAAACAAAGTGACAGGAGGCTGCAGAAGGACCTCAAAATCAGAGAAGTGAGGTGTGTGAGTGTGAGGCAAACCATGATGTGGTCAAGGAAAAGGCAGGATAATTAGGGAAATTACCTTAATACTATTTAAAAAGGCAGTTATGACTCAAGCAAACTTAGGAGCATTCATAGACATTTCATAAAAATGGAATTCTGGTGAGCTTGAGACATGACAAATCTAACAGTATACCAACCTTTAGTCCTATGTGCTTCACCAATGACTCTCCAGAAAGACACAGTGGGTCAAGGAAGGAAGATTACCAGAAATGACTGTTGGAAGGTCATAATGAAAATCAGGGTGGCGGTGTCTGGGTGGCTCACTTGGTTAAACATCTGACTCTTGATTTCAGCTGGGATTGTGGTCTCAGGGTCGTTAAGATTGAGCCCTGCCTCCAGTTCCATATTCGCAGAGTGTGTGCTTGGGATCCCCTCTCCTTTTCCCTCCCCCTGCTCTTGCACACATGCTCTCTCTATAAATTAAATGAATGAATGAATGAATGAATAAAAGAAAAATAGGGTGAATAGGTCCATTCTATCTGAATAAAATGAAAAGAAAAATAAAATCAGGAAGGGTGGTAATGAGCTAACAGCAATAGTTTAACCACGGTGACTTACATTCCTGTGTGCCAATCACCGTTCCAACTGCTATACACACGATATGAAGTCATTTAATTCCCTCAGCCCTATGAGTAGGCGCTGTCGTTCGCATTTTTACAAATGAGGCACAGAGCTCAAAGTCACATGCATTTAGTCATTGGTAGGGTAGGAACCCCACCGCACCTAGGCAGTCTGCTGCAGAGCCTGGACTCATAGCCCCCCCCAACCACATTGCCCCTTGAAGGTATAAGGAGGGTTTACTCTGGAGTCCAGTATTGAAGCTCATAATCTTAGTATCAAGGAAGATCTTTTGAAGCGGTTTAAGCAGCAAGTAAACTTTACAGAGTAAGAAACTCCTTAATAATAGGCTGAAGAGGGACGCCTGGGTGGCTCAGTTGGTTGAGCGGCTGCCTTCGGCTCAGGTCATGATCCCAGCGTCCTGGGATCGAGTCCCACATCGGGCTCCTTTCTCGTCAGGGAGCCTGCTTCTCCCTCTGCCTCTGCCTGCCATTCTGTCTGCCTGTGCTTGCTCTCTCTCCCCCTCTCTCTCTGACAAATAAATAAATAATAAAAAAAATAATAATAGGCTGAAGATAGTAATGGTTTCAAGAAAAGTAGACAAGTAGGTGGATAGATAAGCTAAACATAAGTTGTAGAGAGAATCTAGACATTATTACGGTAAGAGTCTGAAGCTTCTGGAATTTGAAATGATGTAAGATGACAATGCCCTTCAACACAAATTACTGGTCTGTTCCAGTTACGTATTTCTGAGATCTTACAGACATTAAAATGAGCATACGATTTTTTTCCTGATATGATTTCTAAGACTATGAAAATGGATATTACTAGCCTCCAGCTACATATGCCACCTTACAGATGACTCATGAACATGAATGAAATGTCTAGAAGTTCATCTTAGTCAATGCCCTCATTCAACTATTTTTTATTTTTCAATTCAGAAAATCAGACATTAATCTAGGTCAGCATTCTCTACATTTTATCTTCTGGAGATGAATGTTTAGAAGTTATTAAGTGACGGGGGTGGGGGGGGAATTCCAGGATCCAGTAAGTGCTCACTAAATTCTCCTAGAGAACCACAGACCACATGTAGCTTCAACAATCCCATAATAAAGAATCTATGCAACTGTAATCCAGTATTTCCTACATTTATTTGGCCATGGCACCTTTACACTGCAGACCATTTATAAATTATGGACATTCATTCCAGATCTAGATACTTTCTTTTGGACAAATAGAAGAGTGTTACTTTTATAAGAGTCCAGGAGGGGAGTTAACCATGGCTAGGAGTAATTGGGATATTTTGTTCTCTCAATGTTGAAAGAGTCCCTGTTTCTGCTCTTAGGGATGGTCGTATGTGGCACTCTGAATTCATTTTCTCCTAATAATTTATACCAGCCACTCCTTAGTCTCCTCTGCTGATTTCCTCTCATTTCTCTAACCTCTTATTGTTAGCATACCCTGGAGCTCGGTCTGTGGACCTTGTCCTTTCTCTATCCCTGTTCTATTCCTTGGTGATCTCATAGTCTTGTGACTCTTTAATAAATTTAAAGGTTACTGACAGCCTGGACTTTTCTAAACTCCAAACTCACACATCAGGATGTCTGGGACATTCCCACTAGGATATCTATCAGGCAACCCAAATGCTAACATGTCCCAAATCAAAGTCCTCAACTTTCCTCCCAAATCTACTCCTCCTTTAGTCTTCTCCGTTTCAGTTAATATCATCACCTTTCCAGTTGCTTAGGCTAATAATGACTGTGCCATCCACAACACATTTTCTCCAATACTTCATATCCAAGCCATCAGCAAATTCTATTGGCTCAACCTTCAAGATATACCCTCAATTGAGCCACTTATCACCTACACTCTCATCATCCTAATTAAACCTCTATTAACTCCCAAATGGATTATTACAATAGCTTCCTAGCTCATCTCCCTGACTCTGCCCTCGGTCCCCTGCAGCTTGTTCTTAAGACAGCAGCTAGGGTGATAATGTTAAGACTATAATAAAGAATTTTTGTGGGGGCACCTGGTGGCTCTGTCAGTTAAACGTCCAACTCTTGCTCTCAGCTCAGGTTTTGATCACAGGGTTATGAGTTCAAGCCCTGCACTGGGGTCCACGCTGGGCATGGAGCCTACTTAAAAAAAAAGAGAGAGAGAGAGATTTTTTTTTTTGTTTTTCACCAAGGTAGAAAAGACTTCTCCATTCAGAATCTACTAATGGCTTCCTATCTCTGAATGAAAGCCAAATCCTTACAATTGCCTAGGAGGCATTACCTCACAGGCCCCATCTCCTACTACACCCTCCCCTGTCCAGCCCCCCACTCTACTGTAGCTCCAACAGTCTTGTTGCTGTTCCTTGAGGTAGGCAAGATCCTACTTCAGGACTTGTACCTTTCATCGTTATGTTAGCTGATTTTTATTACATTAGGTTAAAAAGGTTTTTTCATATTCCTAATTTGCTAAGCTTAAGGTTTTTTTTCTGTTGTTGTTGTTAAAGGTAAGATTCACATACCTTAAAATAAAAAATTAAAAAGTCAACCATCTTAAGGTGATCAATTCAGTGGCATTTAGTACATTCACAATGTTGTATAACCATCTTTATTTAGTTCCTAAACATTTTCATCACACCCCAAGGTCAACGCTATACCCATTAAGTAGTCACTCCCCATTCCCCACTGCCCCTTCCACCCCTGGCAACCACCAAACTGCTCTCCATCTCTATGGATATATCTATTCTGGATATTACGCATAAAGGAAATTATACAATATGTGATCTCTTACGACTGGCTTTTTTCACCTTGCATGTTTTTGATGTCCATCCACCTTGTAGCATGAATCAGTACTTCATTCCTTTTTATGGCTCAATATCACTCCACTGTATGAATACACTACAATTTATTTATTCCTTCATCTGTTGGTGATACTTAAGCTCTTTTCAGCCACTGTGAATAATCCTGCCATGAACATGCATGTATGAGTATCTGAGTCCCTGCTTTAGATTCTTTTGGATATATACCTGGGAGCAGGATTCCTGGGTCATATGGTAATTCTGTTTTAACTTCTTGAGGAACTGCTGAACTGTTTTCCGCAGTTGCTGAACCATTTTACGTTCCCCTCAGCCATGTGTGAGGGTTCCAGTTTTCCCTTCAGGACTTTTGCATTTGCTGTTCTCTCTCTTGAATGCTCTTCCAACAGATAATCCAGTGGCCCACTTCCTCACTTCCTTCATGTCTTTACTCAATGTCCTCTTCTCACAGAGGCCTATCCTGACCACCAAATTTAAAATGGCAACCTCCCAACCCCAGCCCATACTTACCATCCTCCTTGCCCACTTTATTTTTCTCCATAGCATTGATCATCATCTAACATACTACTTAATTTTCTTAATTTTTACGTCTTGTCTTCCACCACTGAAATGTAAGCTCCACCAGGGAAGAGATTTCAGTCTGTCTTTTCCAGCACCTAGAATAGTGTTAGGCACATAGTAAGTGCTTAATAAGTATTTGCTGAACAAGTAAGTGAGGCCCAAAGAGATGTTTTGGCAAAGTGAGGCAAAAAGGAGCAAGAAACTGTCTCTGTAGTTCAGAAGTAGGTTTTCTAAGAATGGGGACAGATCGAAACTGAGCATATCACACATTTTATTCAGCTGTAACCTTTTAAAAAGCACAAACGCAAGAGACGGCTATTTCTGAATCAAGTGAAAGAACTAGTTAGAAAAGCCTGGGGATAATGGGATCAAAATGTCGAACTAAAACTCATTTGCACCAAATGAGTCAACTAACTGCCTATAATAAGCAAAAGTCAACTAACTAGCTATAATAAGCAAGCTTAATATTTACTGTTTGAAATGTTTTATTTAAAGAAAGTAAAAAAAATGGTGCTACAGGACACAGAACTTTAAGAGTATTATACTTTAAGAAAACGAACCTAATACATACTGTCAGAAATAGAATTCTATGGAAGAACAAAAAGATGTAACCCCACCTAAAATACTGCTACAGCAACAATGTGGTTTATCATATTCTCAAAATATAACAGAGCCAGGGGAAATATCTGTATATAAAATGAGAATCTATATTGAAACTACAAAGAATTTATATCTGGACCAAACTTGGTGTAATTAGTACTGAATTTTTCACTTTAGAATGATTAAGATGGCAAAAGTCATGTTATATATTTTCATTACAATTTTTGAAAAGTAAAAAAAAATGGATAGATAGATGGTAGATGAAGAAACATTCTGGGGACTGACACAGAAATAAAGATTCGAACATTGCCAAGTCTACTACTAAGAAACAAGTAGTAGTAGAAACACTACTAAGAAACGACACTTTTGGAGATTTTGGAAAATCATTTACAGCAGAAATCAGTCTGGAAAATGAAAACTAAGGGATTCAACTTTTTTGACTATGTATTACAAGAAGGAGACTATGTAAGAGCTGGTCACTGAAACTGGTTTTCAATATGTTTCTGCTATAGGCTGAATGTCTAAATTCATATGTTGAAACCTAATCCCCATTGTGATGGTATTAGGAGGTGTGGCCTTTGGGAGATGACTGCATCAAGAGGGTGGTACCCTCATGTGTGGGATTAGTATCCTCCTAAATTAGACCCCAGAGAACTCTCTCACCCCTTCTGCCAGGAGGATACAGCAATATCCTTCTACGAACCAGGAAGTGGGTCCTCATCAGACACTGAATCTGCCAGTGCCTTGATCATGGACTTTCCAGTATCCAAAACTGTGAGAAATAAATTTGTATTGTTCATAAGATACCTAGTCTGTGATACTCTATTATAGCAGCCCAAAGGGACTAAGACAGTTTCAAAGTACAACTGTAAGTACAAAGCACAAGAAGTTCTGATGTTAAGATGAAAAAACTACTCATGACTGGGTCAAACAACTTCAGAGCCTGACCACCTTAATGGTTATTAAAGATCACAAAGGTACTTTGCCAGTCTCTGAAGTTCAAGAAATTAGTAAAATATACATAGTGAGCTTATAACTATGCTGGAGGAAAGACTGCAAGATGCACTTGGTAAAGCTCTCAGTCTGTAGGCCAAGTAATCAGGCTTCCATGTAAGAAGCAAAGCAATGCTCCTACTAACATGATAAAATCTACAGCTTTTACATGAATAACTCCTGAGGCACTTTACCAATACAAATTTTATTAAAAAAATAAGTAATAACATCAAACTGTTCAGCAAATCTATATTCAATGTAACCAAAATAAACAAACACCAAAATAAAAAAAATATACATCTATATATATATGGGCAAGAAACAAGTGCATTTTTTGGTCCCAATATTTTCTGAATATATTATCTTTATCCAAAGGAATTACATTAATGGCTAAGAAGATATGTATTAGATGTACAGAAACATAACTTTAAAATTTATTTTAAGGTCTGTAGGAAGTGTTTTTTGCCAATTCTTTATGTCTTTAAACTCATAATCACTAAGATAATGATAGTCCCAAGATACAGGATGTAGTAATGTCTAATGGTCTGAATAATTACCCAAATCTAGAAGCCATCAATAGGTAGCTACATGAAATTTGTAGAGAATTCTAAAGAATTTCTTGAGGTTCTTAAAAACAAAAGAAAACAAACACAAAACAAGAGTTTTAAAGAGGAGAGATAAAAGTGGACATAACAAAACACACATTAATAAATTTGGTCAAGGACAACATAAAACCAAGATAAAATTAAACTTTAAAAAATCTGAATATTAGTATCACTGAAAACTCCTAGGGTTAATACTGGATAAAATTTCAAATGACGGTACAAATAACTATAACTTTGGAACTGTAATTTTAGAAACTTGTTTTCCAAGAACATGAAAGTAACCTTGGTTCCCTACACAACCAGTTTTTATATTCCTTGGACTGCATGCATACTAGACAAATATTAAAGGGCAGCAGCCAAAATGTTTAAACTTCAACTTGGATGTTGAAGCATAGATTTGATGGGTCTTTCTTGGTTAGAATGAACCCATAAATATAAGTTCAAGAACCAAAGCCCCCAGTGGGAAGTTGTGCTCAATTTGGCGGGCCTTGAGGTCATCTCTGGCCAAATTAGCATCAGCCTTATGGGAGGCCAGTCATGAAGGAAGGGACTCTCCCCAAGGTCTGATTTCTTAAGGCCACAATCTAAAGGAGGTCTCACAGTCAAATAATTCACATTCCTTGGAAAGAGAGAACAGGCATCAGTTGTGTCCATCGAAGGGGGACACTGACCAGGAGTATCCTGGACATTTTTTGAAATTTCTGTGTTGCTTCTGCATCTGAAAAATACGAAAAATAGAACAATGACAGACAAGGAAAGAGGAAAAAGACAGCTATCTGACCTAAAAATGAAATTAAGAAACCAGACAAAACAGACAAAGAAAATGAATAGCCATGTCATTTGGAATGCAATATTCTGAAGGCAAGTACAGCAGAGAAAAACACAAATTATTTTAAGCAAAGCAAAAAAAGACCATAGCAACAAAAGTTATTTTTGGAGAGAGCCAACTGGAGAAAAAAGCATATGTTAAGATATGTTAACCTGACACAAAGATAAGGTGGAATAAGAATCTAGTGCCATCTGAAAGCTGAAAAGAGCTGAATCAGAGCTAGTGTCATGAACTTGGCTGTTTAACCGCCTTCGTGTGAGAAAACACTTCAGAAGTTTGAACTTAGGAAACTGCCTTTGTGTAAGAAAACACTTCAGAACTTTGAACTTAGGAAATTCCAACTTGTCTTGCACCAGGTTGCACGAGCTCCATAGAGCAGGAATCTATTTCAACAAGCGGCTTTAAAAACAAAAACAAAAACAAAATACTTTAATATTTTTCATTTCTATTAATGATACATTTAAAAATGCAACAGTGCTAAAATCCATCAAAGAAAAATGCACTAAATGAAAATTAAACTTACTCAGAAGTGGGTTCAGAATTGGGTTCAGAATTGGGTTCAGAAGTTGAGGTACTTTCAGGAACTGAAATTAGAAGTGTTTTACGTTTAAAATGGTATAGATAACGAGTAAGACTATTAACTTAATACAGAAGAGCCCATATTGTGGCTGATCAAGAATACTGGAATAAATATCAGAAATTCCCAGAGAGGGAGACAAACCATAAGAGACTCTTAATCTCAGGAAACAAACTGAGGGTTGCTGGAGGGGAAGGGGGTGGGAGAGATGGGGTGGCTGGGCGATGGACATTGGGGAGAGAATGTGCTATAGTGAATGTTGTGAATTGTGTAAGATTGATGAATCACAGACCTGTACCCCTGAAACAAATAATACAATTTATGTTACTAAAAAAAAAAGAAATTCAAAGAAACATAATTATATATACATACCATTCTCTATTATAACTTGGCAAGTATGAGTTTTGCGTTGACACAAGTGTTTAGCCATACGGTCTAAAGCAGAAGAATCAGTTAGGAAGTCACATTTAAGGCACACTAGAGTAATGCCCCTATGAAGATAAAAAGAAAGCAAAGGTTTTTAATCTTTTATGAAAGCCCATCTAGAAGTTCAATTATTATTTTTCCATATAACAACTCTTGATTTGGTTTTTATGGGTCATGACCATCAATTTCCAATTTTGTTATATAAACCTGATTTACCTGAAATGGTACTCTAGAAAATGACAGAGCCATGTTTAAGTTATGCTAACATTCAGTGCTTTGTAAACTGTTCCCTCTCATATTGGTTGCTAAAAGACAGGAGTTAAGAGACCTAAAACCCAGTTGTGGCTCCACTAACAATTTGTATAGCTTGTGCAAGTCACATTCTTCCTGTGCCTTTATCCATCTGAAAAGCAAGGATATAATATTCATTCAATATACATTTTTTAAAAGATTTTATTTATTTATTTGACAGAGAGAGATCACAAGTAGGCAGAGAGGCAGGCAGAGAGAGAGGGGGAAGCAGGCTCCCTGCTGAGCAGAGAACCAGATGCAGGGCTCAATCCCAGGACCCTGAGACCATGACCTGAGCTGAAGGCAGAGGCCTAACCCACTGAGCCACCCAGGCGCCCCTCAATATACATTTTTTTAAAAGATTTTATTTATTTGACAGAGAGAGTGAGTGAGGGAGAGAACAAGCAGAGGGAGCAGCAGAGGGAGAGAGAAAAGTAGGCTCTCCGCTGAGCAGGGAGCCTGATGTGGGGCTCAACCTCAGGACTCTGGGATCATGACCTGAGCCGAAGATAGACGCTTCGCCTAGCTGACTGAGCCACCCAGGAGCCCCTCAATATACATTTTCTGAGGACCTTCTTTACACACTCCATACTACTAGGTGTTGTGAATACAACAGTGAACAAAAAAGAGGGTAAACTCTGTGGAGCCTATAATCTGGTATCTTATTTTAGTGGTGATAAAATTAGAAAAAAATGGGAAGGTTTTAAAAATTAATCATGTACTTTAATTATTATTATCTGTCAGTTAACAAGCATAACCATGCTTTTACAGTTCATTGGATACTTGGATGGGAATAAAAACCAGTAGCCTACTTTAGATTGACTTCCCCACTGTGGCTTTAGCCTTTTTAAAAAAAGATTTATTTATTTTAAGAGAGATTAGGGGTAGGGGTAGAGGGAGAGAATCTTTCAAGCCGACTGCCCCGCTGAGCGCAGGACCCACCTGCTGAGGAGGACTCGATCCCAAGACCCATGAGATCATGAGGTAAGCTGAAACCAAGGGTTGGATGTTTAACTGACTGAGCCACCCAGGTGCTCCTATTGCAGCTCTAGTCTTAACAGCCTGCTTTATATTTATACCTGGCTGTCATGCTGGCACATCAAAAATGATCTTCATAAGCTGAAACTGTACTTTCCTCCCCACCCCTGAAAACCATTCTTCCTAATCTCTCTGATGATGTCATGCTCCCAACCAAAGGCTCAAACTTATCTTTTTAAAAAAGAGTCAGTATTTCAAATATTTTATCATATTAACAATTTATTGAGCACTTAACTCTGTGCTGGGCTGAGGGTTTTAGACATATTATATCATCTAAATCTTACAACAAACCAAAGAGGTAGATATTAAAATTATTCCTTTTTTATAAAGGACTGGATCGGGTTTAATAACCTACCAAGGCCAAAATTAGATTGAAATGAGTCCTTTGATTCCAGAGTCCATGTTCTTTTTTATTTTTTTAAAGATTTTACTTACTTACTTACTTACTTACTTACTTACTTACTTACTTACTTACTTATTTATTTATTTATTTATTTATTTATTTATTTATTTATTTAGACCACAAGTAAGCAGAGAGGCAGGCAGAGAGAGACAGGAGGAGGAGGCAGGCTCCCCGCTGAGCAGAGAGCCCGATGCGGGACTCGATCCCAGGACCCTGAGATCATGATTTATTTATTTATTTATTTATTTATTTATTTATTTATTTAGACCACAAGTAAGCAGAGAGGCAGGCAGAGAGAGACAGGAGGAGGAGGCAGGCTCCCCGCTGAGCAGAGAGCCCGATGCGGGACTCGATCCCAGGACCCTGAGATCATGACCCGAGCCGAAGGCAGAGGCTTCAACCACTGAGCCACCCAGGTGCCCCTACTTATTTATTTGACAGACAGAGATCACAAGTAGGCAGAGAGGCAGACAGAGAGGGGGAAGCAGGCTCCCGGATGAGCAGAGAGTCTGATGCGGGGCTTGATCCCAGGACCCTGAGATCATGACCTGAGCCGAAGGCAGAGGCTTAACCCACTGAGCCACCCAGGTGCCCCAGAGTCCATGTTCTTAAACAGTGTGATAAAATTCATCACCTTAACCCAGATTCTTATTAAATCAGTCTTAACTACCATAATAGTCTTAAACAGTCCATGTGTCTCAGGTAGCTACATTTTACCTCATATATCCTCCACATTGATCTTCCTTGATTCTACACAAAACACCAAGAATTTCCCCAAAGGGTCCAAACTCCCTAGCTTAGTTTTCAAGGATTCCACAATCCAGATCTGAGCTCAAAACTATTCCTCCAGACTTTGATCTTAATACTACGTTACATAAACTTCATGCTCCATCTAAACTGCACTACTGGTCATTCATTGCGTATGGCTTTTGCTTTCCTTTCTGTACTTTTACTTACACTATTTCCTCCAACTAGAATGCCCTTGTGCCTCTTCTAGTAGAAGTCTCTCCTCCCTGTGAAATCAGTAACTAACACAGCACTTATTATGAACTTTCTTATATTACTGTAGTTACTTATATTCACACCTTATCATAAATTGTACATTCCCTGATGGTTGGTACCAAGCCTTCTTCATCACTGTCAACTTAAGGGGAACTGCTATATTGTGTTGTGTAAGTAATAGGTGCGTGATAAATAAAAAATGAACATTATATTTTAACAAAACAGTAATTACAAAATTTACTGTTTTATAGAATTATAAATATGCTAAGCCCCATACACAGAAATTAATCAACTTTCTAAATATTTTATTTATTTATTTGACAGAGAGAGATCACAAGTAGGCGGAGAGGCAGGCAGAGAGAAGGGGAAAGCAGGCTCCCCGCTGAGCAGAGAGCCCAATGCGGGGCTCAATCCCAGGACCCTGAGATCATGACCTGAGCTGAAGGCAGAGGCTTAACCCACTGAGCCACCCAGGTGCCCCTCAACTTTCTATTTAAATATGAGACCCACCCAAGTTAAGAAAAAAGCATCTCTGCTCTTTAAAGTCATAGAATCAATTCAAGAATCAAGCACCAAGCATACAACTGAGCTTGACAACAGTGAGGTAAAAATCAAATTAAATTCTCTAATCTTTATAATTAATAAATCCTTTTCATTCTTATAAAATTTTTCAGTAAAATTCTACTTCCTTGAATTTAGTAATATTTTTAAAATAGCACAAATATATTTTTACAATAGAATCAAACTTTCCTTTGCCTATGAGCTGTTGGTCCAACATCATCCACATATGTAATTTTCAACATATACACTAATTTACTCAAAATATTTACAGAAAGCCTACCATGTGTCAGGCACTATTCAATGCTCAGTAAAACATCTGGCATAGACAAATATCCAAACCATACACATTCTAGTGAGAAGACACAGGTGATAAACAAAACAGTGAAGTATATACAACATGCTGGAAAGTAAAAAGTGAAGAAAAATAAACCAATAAAGGGAGATGGGGACTGGTGGGAATGGGGCCCTGGGGAAAGAATGCTATTTTAAATGGAGTGGTCAAAGAAAGCCTCATTCACTGGATTAGAGACTTGAAGGAGGTGAGAGAGCTAGCCATGCAGCTATCTAGGGAAGAGTCAATAAAGCAGAAAGAATAATAGACACAAAGATCCTGAGATCCATCATCCCTTCCTCCACTTTCCCACTAAGCCAAAGCATCAAAATAAGTACTGGCTAAACTTAAGTCTTTGTCTTAGCCTGGTGCTACCAAGATCTTGGCACTGTAATTTCAAACAGCAATGACAACGTGAGCAAGATAATTAAAACAAAGGAATATGAAGTCAAAAGAAATCAGAAGAATGTGGGAAAAAATGATGCTTAGTGGGTTATGAGCCAATGGTGTGTAGTATAATCAAAAGTTAACTATCAATGCCTAGAAATGTTCATCAGCAATTCCTTTTGTAAACAGGTTGTGCACTCTTATTTCAAAATTTTAAAAACCCTACGAATTATGAAGGCTATATATTGATCAAAACCAGTGTTATTCAACTTACTAGATATCTTAAACATCTTTTTAATCTTCAAATATTGCTGGAGAGCCTTATTTTTAATTTTATAATGCAAATCCATGAAAGTTTCATCTTAATGCCTAATACCACTGAAACAAAGTTAGCCAGAAAACATAGGTTTACTTCCTCTTTGATCTATGATATAATGAATAGAACTGTCTTATGTCTGGTAGTAACCATTCATTTTCCAAACTACATACTTAAGCATCAGGTTAAAAAGAAGTTACTGTAATTTTTCAAAAGAGAGAATGGAAAAGATCAACTAGTTACCTGAGAGTTCCAGAATGCTTCTTAAAAATATAAAACCGTTTACTCGGATGGTTGCTATGAGAGCTGGAGAGACAACAGACAAATGAGATTTTATTATACAATATATCATAATAATTTTATGACCATATTTCCAAGTCCATATTTAGTTTCTTAGTTTTGATTAAAAGGTAATGATCTAAATTATTGAATTCTATTCTTCTGTTTTAATTCAAGTTTTTTATCTTCCATTTCATTTTATCTGTGTATTTTCTAGCAACATATTTCCCTGAGAATATTCTTAAGTGATTGGTACCCTCACCATTATACAAAAAAACCAAAAAACTTCTCAAAGTTAAATAAGCAAAGAGCATCAACTTAAATCTTTACAACTATTGAGTTGAAAACAATTTAAAAGGTATTTGCTAATAATGCATATTGCTCTAATAAAAATTGTTATGAATAACTATCACTTTCTTATCTTTTTTTCTTATCACTTTATCTTAATATACTTAGCAAGTGGGGAGATCTGAATGATCCTTGAAGTAAATGCTACTTGGGCTAAATTACATTACCTTTACCTACCATCAGTAAAAGGAAACATTTAAAGAATCTTTTGCAATTATTAGGAGAGCCTTTAGGGAAAGGAAAGCAGAACTCATGAGTTAAAACAACACTTCTTCTATGCACAAAACATCAACAACAAAAAAACACTAACCAAATTTTGCAGCCAATGGCAATAGCTTTTATACCCACATCTATTTTTATTTTTTAAAAGATTTATTTATTTTAGAGAGAGAAAGAGAGAGTGTGTGCATAAGCAGGGGGAGGAGCAGAGGGAGAGGGAGAGAGGATCCTCAAGCAGACTCCCTGCTGAGTGTGGAGCCTGGCATGAGGTTCGATCCCAGTATCCTGAGATCATAGCCTGAGCTAAAATCAAGAGTCGACCACTTAACTTACTGAGCCACCCAGGTATCCCTATACTCCCTTTTAAATTGATAAGGAAAGCTTTCCTGTACTAGAAAGTCAGGCAGGATTAGCCAGGACTGGCATAGCACAGTATTACTCAAAGTGTGGTTCATAACAGCATCCGTATCACCGGGGAACTCATCAGAAATACAAAGTCTCAGGTCCCACTCTAGACCTGCTGAATTAATTGCTGGCAGTGAGACCCAGAAATCAGTTTCAGCAAGTTTTTGAGGTGATTCTTATGCAAGCTGAAGTTTGAGAAACACTAGCTGCCCTAGCTTGCACTGACAGACCCAAACCAGCCAACACACCAGGTCAATGATTATCATTAGACAAATGGTAACTATCACCAGCATACCATGTATGCATAGGAAAAAAATGATACTGGCTATCTATAATCCCATGAAAATAGCTGCAGAATAGGTACCATGCTGAGTACAAAGAACTGCTCTCCCAAGTAGATAAGACAGACACATTTAATATAAGGCAGAATAGCTGAATGGTATAGAACTCAAAGGAAGGAATGATTGCTATGAGTGGCTGTGGTGATCAGATTCTTCACAGAAGAAGGTAAACTGAGAGGGAGGGAGAGGGGGCAGTCCAAGGAATAACAAAGAATAAGGAAAACCACTTTAGAGACTGAATATGAAACAAATGATATGAATATGAAACAAACTATATGTTCGGGAAGATTAATTTGGGGGGCCTGACTTGTTACAGAGTTGGTGTGGACTGGGAATAAAGGTACTCAGCCTCCAAGAAAGTAAGACTCTGTAGGTACAGAGCTCAAGTCTACAACAAAAGTCCACACTGGGTCAGGGTATACCATTAACGGGGAGGTACCTGAGGCAACAAAGGAAGCAAGACGCCACTGAATTAGGGGGAAGGCAAAGGCCCTTAGAAAAGTAGAAGTGGATACATCCAGTTCTTTATGAGGCTAATAATAAGTAAGTGCTCCATGTGTGTGATGACAATGCAGTAGAAGGTTGGGCCTCACTGGAAATTAGGAAAAGGTTATAAAGGAAGTCTGAGGCCAACGGGAATATTTTGGGATAGTATGGTATTGAAGGCCTAGAAGACAGTTGAAGAAGCTATGGAAAATGTGAGGCAGGAGGACAGAATGACCATGGGTTTAAGAAACACAAAAATATTTTCCAATTTAATGTCCTATAATTTAGGGGCAGAATTAAAGCTCCATTGGGGCAGCCATGTGTTTGGCACAGAATAAAAGACCAGCATTTGTGACTGTTGTCAAAATACCAACATTTTTCACAGAACTAGACAAAAATTATCCAAATGTTTGTATGGAACTGCAAAAGATATCGAATAGCCAAAGCAATCTTCGGATTATGAGACTGATGCACTCACTACCTACTGCGCTAAGGAGGCACCTCAGCCAAAGCAATCTTGAAAAAGAACAAAGCTCAAGGTATCACAATTATAGATTTCAAGATATACTAGAAAGCTGTAGTGATCAACACAGTATGGTATTGGCACAAAACAGATACATAGATCAACGAAACAGAACTGAGAGTCCAAAAATAAACCCATACTTACATGGTCAATTAATCTATGACAAAGGACGCAAGAATATACAATGGGGGAAAAGACAGTGTCTTTGAAAAATGGTGCTACGAAAACTGGACAGCTACATACAAAAGAATGAAACTGGACCAATTTCCTACACCACACACAAAAATAAACTCAAAATGGATTAAAGACCTAATGTGAGACCTGAAACCATAAAACTCCTTGAAGAAAACAGAGGCAGTAATTTCTTTGACAACAGCTGTAGAAACATTTTTCTAGATATGGCTTCTCAGGTAAGGGAAACAAAAGCAAAATTAAACTACTGGGACTACACCAAAATAGAAAGTTGTTTTTTTTTTTTTTTTTTTAAGTAGGCTCCACGCCCAGTGTGGAAATCAGCACAGGGCCTGAATTCACCACCCTGAGATCAAGACCTGAGCTGAGATCAAGAGTCTGAAACCCAGCTGACAGAGCTACCAGCTGCCCTCAAAATAAAAAGCCTTTGCACAGCCAAGGAAACCATCAGCAAAACAAAAAGGCATCCTACTAAATGGGGGAAGAAATTTGCAAATGTTCTCTGCTTCTCCCTCTGCCCCTCCCCTGCCTGACCTGTGCTCTGTCTAGGCTGTCTCTCAAATAAGTAAATAAAATCTTTAAAAAGAGTACACTTATCTTGATGAACACTGAATAATGTATAGAATTGTTGAATCATTATATTGTACACCTGAAGCTAATGTAACTGTATGTTAATTATACTTCAATTTGCAAAATATGAGCATTCTTCCCAGCAGTATACTGAGAGAAAGATTTGCTGGGGCCTGGTTTAGAGCAACCAAGGTATAGAAAGAACTGCAGTAGTTGGGAGGCAGAGTGGTAAATTGCAGAATGTGGACATTCAGGAAGCCATTATGAATGGTGGCAGATCAAGAGAGCACCAAAGTCTTCAGAAACTTAAAGTGTATTATTTTCAGCCGATGTGCCATATTTCTGCAAATGATATCTTGAGACAAGCTGAACTTAAAGAGTATTGGGGTGATGGTAATTTGGATCCCAGGCAGACAATAATGTTTGACTTATTTTGTTCTTTACAGATACCAGTGGGTCAAAGACGAAAATTTTTATCAAACTGATAAAGAGATGGATCTCAGCAAAACTCAGCACTGAAACTGGAGGATTTACAGTTGACAAGTAAAGCAAAATTCTGAGTGATTAAGGTACCAAGAAAGGGAATGTAAAGAGGCAAAAAGAGTTGAAAAAAAGAAAAGGTAAGGAAATAAAGGCAACCTACCAAATGGGAGAAGATATTTACAAATGAAAAATCAAATAAAGGGTTAATATCCAAAATACATAAAGAACTGTTAAACTCAACACCCAAAACCCAAATAATCCAATTAAAAAATGGACAGAAGACATGTATAGACATTTCTCCAAAGAATACATCCAGATGGCTAATAGGCACATGAAAAGATGCTCAGCATCACTCATCATCAGGAAAATGCAAATCAAAACTGCAATGAGATATCACCTCACACCTGTCGGAATGGCTAAGATCAAAAACTCAAGAAACAACAAGTATTGGCAAGATTATGTAGAAAAAGGAACCCTGTTGGTGGGATGCAAACTGGTGCAGCCACTGTGGAAAACAATATGGAGGTTCCTCAAAAGTTAAAAACTGAACTACCCTAGGGCCCAATAATTGCACTACTGGGGTTTTACCCAAAACATGCAAGACATTAGATCAAAGGGATACATACACTGCTATGTTTATTGTAGCATTATTTATAATAGTCAAACTATGGAAGCAGCCCAAGTGTCCAGAATGGATAAAGATGTGGGGTGTGTGTATGTGTGTTTGTATGTATCAGCCATAAGAAGAATGAAATCTTGCCATTTGCAATGATGTGGATGGGCTAGAGATGATATATATAATACTAGGTGAAGTAAGTCAGAGAAAGACAAACACCATATGATCTCACTCATGTGGAATTTAAGAAAAAAGCAAATGCTTTTTTTCTTAAGGACAGAGAACAAACTGATGGTTATCAGAGGGGGAGCTGGGTGGGGGATGGGTGGAATAGGTGATGGGGAGTAAGAGCACACTTATCATGATGAATACTGAGTAATGTATGGAATTGCTGAATCACTATACTGTACACCTGAAACTAATGTAACCCTGTATGTCAACTATACTGGAATTTAAATGAAAAACTTAAAAGGAAAAAAATGTCTGAGGCAAAAAAAGAAAAGGTAATGAAATAGAGGAGTAGCCAAAAGGGAAGAAAAACAATGATGGTAACATAGTAAGAGAAGTTGAGGAGAAGATTTTCAAAAGTGAGTGATCAAAAGTATCAAATATTCTAAAGAAGTCACAGAAAAGTAAGAATGAAAACTAGTGAGTACATTTAGTGATTAGGATATGACTGACTGATAATTTTTAAAGGGGCAGCTTTAACTAATAGGTGGGGGTGACACTCAAATCACAAAGGGTAAAGAAGTAGCAAATAAGACAGTAAAGAAACTCTTTAAAATGTTGACAGTAAAAGGAAGACAAGAAAATATGCAAAGTGAAGGCAAATCTCGTTCGTCCTAAAAAAATGTCTGAAAATATGTGCAGGCAGAAGGAATGTGGTAGAAAGAAAGAGATGAAATGAAGATACAAAATAACTGAGTAAGGCTGTAGAGAAAATGGAAGACACACGGGGCAGGATTTGTTTTCAGAAAGTGAGAAATGTCTTTTTCTGAGATTAATGTCTGGATAAAGGGAGAAAAACTTGAGGTAGAAAAAAGTTAATCTTGGTAAAAATGAGAAGGATGACCTCTGAGTAATTAGTAGGAACAAGACTAAAAACTAAGAGACTAGAATAAAATCTAAGGGTATTGAAAACGATTTAAAAAGATGTTGTAGATAAAAAAAAAAAAACAACAAAGAGGTATTTTTAAAAACAAAGAACTAAATTAAAGTTAAAAATCACAAATTCAGAGCTAATTAAATCAAGTGCAGTTGGTAGTTTGGAAAGGAACACAGCGAAAGATCGAAAAGGATAAGAGATTCATGGATAGCAAGGTTAAACATGTCTGAAGATGTAAAGGATTCTAGGATAAAAAGCAAACAACATTCAAAACCGATGACCTTAAGGGTGAGGTTGATATGAAGTTAGACTGGTGCTGCTGGACTGAAAAGAAAGGTCAAGACTCTAAAAATCATGAGGTAATGAGAATTCAAAATGAATGAATATTGTATATGATGAGCGGAGTTGGGACCGTGATAAGGAAGGGGGTAGAACATGCAACAGAGGTCTTGTTATGATCTGCAAGAAAACCACTTTTATTGGTTATATCTTATTTCTGACTGAAAATAAATGGAACTACCTCAGTTTGAATAATCAACTTAGCATATTTATATCTGAACAATTTTATGTATTAAAAAAGTATCCTTCTTGAAAGAATAAAGCAAGCTGCTACTAATGAGGTCCAAATGAAAGTAATGTGGTCCCAGAAGTCCTTCTCAAGACTACAGTACATGGTAGGCACTAAAATAATACAAATTGAATTGATGTATGAAAAGGAATTCTAATAGTAGCATCATGACTAGAATATCCCTATAGTCTCTCATTTCACATTTCATTGAATGAATGCAAAGATAAATGGCTTGAAAGACTAATGGACAGAAAGATGGTTGAAAGGAAGGGGGAGAAGGGAGGGAGTGGTAGGGGGAGAGTACACTCATGTGAGCACCAGTAATATTCTTAGCATCTTTGATAAACCTGGAATCTCTCAAAGTGACTGCTTTGAAGAGGATAACACTTATGTGGTTCCATGTATTTATTTGATAAATATTTTGAAAACATTAAAAATTTTATGTTTGAGAATAATCACATTTTAAAGGACTTAGAAAAACAAACTAAAAAAACAAATTCACCAAACAAACATATTCTAATTTCATTGGTCTAACTGTTCTTAAAAATTTCTGTCCCCCTAATTTCATGATTTATTACACTGGAAAAAATGTTAAGTAATATCCTAGAAGTTCCCTATTAGTCAATCCTTTTAGGTCCTTGATGTGACAACTAATAGGACAACTTAAGTTTAAAAAAAAACAAACATCTTAAATGGAATGTTGATTGGTGGTGCACGTGTTTAACTTACCTCACCATATGATTTATAAAGGCTTTGTTACAGTTAGTGTTGTATTTGCAAAAATTACAGTGGATATATATTGAAAAGTGGCTTGCAAAATCTTTTATTTTGGAATGACACTCAATGCACTTGTGAACTCCCCGACGACACCTTATAGAGACAGGAAAAAAAAGATGAAAACATATCATGAAACAAAAATAATAAAGCAAATCCTTATTAACGTTTTATTAACTGAAGCTAAGATGTTTAAATTAACATCTTTAAGTAGAGACATAATTTGAAGTTGCTCAAATTTGATTTGAAACAATAAGCTAAAATAAGTGTCAAAAATTAAACACCAGTTAATGTTTCCCTGGAATAAAAGGGATCACATTAATCAATTCAACTATCACAAGATATAAGCACAAAATAGATTAGTGTAATTGATGATAATTGTACAATGAACACCAATTCCAGTTCCGCTCAGCGATGTAAAGAGTACCTTTTTATTATCTGCTTAGCCTTTATGTCAGACAGGTGATCAGAAGTAACCATGTAAAGGACCTTTGTGATATGATAAATTATATTAAAACAAACCTTTAATATTTCATATTCAATTAGTATTATATGTCAGGAATAGAAGATATTACCTTAGGTTCTTCAAAGCTATGCTGATTTTATTCTTTCTGTTGCGCTGTTTCTTTTGCTTGTAAGAGGTTTTAGTCTTGCATTTAGATGCACCTCTACCTCGCTTACTGGCATTAGGTTTAGTTGCATGAGGCTTACTTGCCTTAGATTTACTTGCATTAGATTTTGTGGGATTCTTAGCAGTTGTACTTTTAGACTTTGCAGGTGAGAGCTGAAAAGAAGAAGTGCTTGGAACGCTACTACTGGGAGATGAAGTAACTGGTTTTGAATGAAGCGGTCCAATTGAGGCTCGAATAGTAACCTATAAAAAAGAAGGCAAAATATATATACACATTTTAGAAAATTAATCCTTGCATTAATATTAAAAAATTCACTGTGTGCCTCGACATTATAGTCCATTGGTTTTTTTAAAGATTTTATTTATTTGAGAGAGACAGATCACAAATAGGCAGAGAGCTAGGCAGAGAGAGGGGAAGCAGGTTCCTTGCTAAGCAGAGAGCCCGATGCGGGGCTCGATCCCAGGACCCTGAGATCACGACCTGAGCCGAAGGCAGAGGCTTAACCCACTGAGCCACCCAGTGCCCCTAGTCCATTGGTTTTTGACAAGGGTACCAAAACAACTCAGCGGAGGAAACGCTAGTCTATTCAAACAAATGGTGCCAGCACAATTGGATATCTAGATGCAAAAGAATGAATTTGGACCCCTACCTCATACTAGATACAAAAATTAACTCAAAAGGTATCAATTGTAAGAGCTAAAACTATAACTCTTAGAAGAAAACAGGAGTAAATCTCCATGATTTGGGGTTGGGCAATGACTCCTTACATATGATAGCAAAAGCACAACAACCAAAGAAAAACATAGATTAAATGGACTTCATAAAAATTTTACACTTTTGTGTTTCAAAGGACAATGTTAAGAAACTGACAAGACAACCCACAGAATGAGAGAAAGTATTTGCAAACCATATTTCTTTTTTTAAAAAAGATTTTATTTGTCAGAGAGAAAGAGCGAGAGAGAGAGCATACAAGCACGGTGGGCAGCAGGCAGAGGGAGAAGCAGGCTCCCCACTGAGCAAGGAGCTGGATGTGGGACTCAATCCCAGGACCCTGGGATCATGACCTGAGCTGAAGGCAGGCACTTACCAACTGAGCCAGCCAGGCATCTGGCAAGTCGTATTTCTAATAAGGGACCTGTATACAGAATATATAAGGAATGGAGAGTAGACTCAATAATACCAGCTTCAACAAAGGATGGCATTCAAGGCACTATGATAGATGCTAGGGACACAAAGACAACTCACTGACTTAGTCTACAGTTAATCTAGCTGCACTCACTATAAAGGATGTGCTCCAATGTAGCATGTGTCAATTAACTCAAAAAACAATGGGTATTAGTTTTTCTTTCCAAACATAAGAATGACAAAACCTAAGGGATACCCGGGTGGCTCAGTCGGTTAAGTGTCTCCTTTCGGCTCAAGTCATGATCCCGGGGTCCTGGGATCGAGTCCCGCATTGAACTCCTTGCTCAGCAGGGAGACTGCTTCTCCCTCTGCCTGCCACTCCCCCTGCTTGTGTTCTCTTTCTCTGACAAATAAAATTTAAAAAAATGACAAAACCTAAAATTAAATCTTAATGACAAGCAGAAGTTAATTTTTAGTATTATAGAAAAAGCCAGGCAGGAATTTACTTGTATTATCACACAAAATGTTAAAATACAGCATTTTAAAAAAATTTTTTTTAAAGATTTTATTTATTTGACAGAGAGAGCTCACAAGTAGGCAGAGAGGCAGGCAGAGAGAGGGAGGGAAGCAGGCTCCCCACTGAGCAGAGAGCTCGATCCCAGGACCCTGAGACCATGACCCGAGCCGGAGGCAGAGGCTTAACCCACTGAGCCACTCAGACGCCCCAAAATACAGCATATTTAAAACTCACTTTTGTACCAGGAGGCAATCCTTCTAGCTCTTTAGGCTTTATAAAGGTCCGATGCTGGGTCTTGTGATCCAGTTTCTCTTTGCAGGTCAAAAACTGTAGTCTGCATTTTGTACAACGATGAACTCCTTTTTTCTGTTTACAAAAAAAAAAAAAAAACTAAAAATACTATCAGAAATAATAATAACTTCTACCACCACAAATCCTGGAACCTGAAGTTGCTCTAAATTGTAACAGCTAAATAATTTTTAAAAACCAGTATTTTACCATATCCCATCATAAATAATGCCAAAGTATTATTTCATTTTTAAAAACACTGCTTGCATTAGTATTTGTGTTTCAAAAGTATTTGTGGGGTGCTTGGATGGCTCAGTCAGTAGAGCATACAACTCTTGGTCTCAGGGTTTTAAGTCTGAATCCCACATTGGGTGTAGCCATTTACTAAAAAAACAAAAAACAAAAAACAAAAAACAAACAAAAAACCTTTAAAAAAAAAGCATTTCTTACCATATAAGCAATCAAATGAAAACTATCAGTTACGTTAAAATGTGATGAGTCCTATACCTTTGTAGCATGAAAGCTTTTTTAATTATAAATTTGAAGTATAAACCATTCAAACACATGACACCATGAAAATGAGTTATACTATATTTTTATCCTAGAAAAGACCAAGTTATTTTTAATTTTTAAAACTTCTATTTGCTTCATAAAAAGTTGAAATTCTTATAACCAAAAAATTTAATTAATTTAATTAATTTAAATTTAAATAGACACAGGTGGCTAGTGGCTGTGATATTGAACAGCATAGGTGTAGAAGTACAAATCAGAACAACTGATCCCAATCTACTGTCAGAGACCCCCTTGACTAAGTCTTCTCAAACTCAGGCCTATTATTATTTTATCAGTGGGAATTGGGACCCAAGAGAGCTCTAAGTCATTGGCTCACAACTAGTGGGTCTTCTAGTATATATTAATAATTACAGTCTTTATGTATATGCTTTCACTAATTAAAAATATATTTTATATTTATATGTAAATTTAGAACATACAAATACAAAAGAATGTTTTCTCCAAAGCTACATCTCCAAAGGCCTGTCACTATTTCTATGTTAAGCACAAAATAGTCATTTAGGAGAAGCAAATGAGTTAAAATAAATGAAAGTAGCTAGCAATTACTGGAGCACAGCAGGCATTTGATAAATAAAATTTCTTTAAAAATTTCAAAGCAGGGGCGCCTGGGTGGCTCAGTCAGTTAAGCATCTGCCTACGGCTCAGCTCATGATCCCAGGGTCCTGGGATCAAGTCCCAAATCGGGCTCCCTGCTCGGCAGGAAGCCTGCTTCCCCTTCTCCCTCTGCCTGCCGCTCCCCCTTCTTGTGCATGCTCTGTCAAATAAATAAATAAAATCTTTTTAAAAAATTTCAAAGCAATATGGAAATATGTTTGTATATTACTGTTTTAGGTTCATTTTTAAGACAATTTTAAAGTATGGTACATTAGATCATATCATAGATACAGGCAATGTAAACAGATTATTCACCTAATACATGCTTAAAAGAGAGGAGAAAGGGAAAAAGATCTCAGTCAAGAAACAGACGGCAAGATAACAGGACAGAAAGAAAATTCCCCAGAGTACAGTTCCTGGAAGTCTTTTCTCTGCTGGTACCTATACCTCATCTAGTTTCACGATTTTAAATAGTATCCATCCAATTGCCTACTCCATATCACTACTTGATATCTAATAGGTATTTCAAGTCAACATGGACAAAACTGAACTCTAAATTTTCCCCTATTCACCCTGAAAAAAAAATCTGTTCCTTGTCTAGTCTTCCCAATATCTCAATAATGGATGGGAACACCATTCTTGGTAGTGGCTCAGGACAAAAGAACTCGGTTACTCTTAACTCTTGTCTTTCACACCCCACATCCACCAACCCATTAATAAAATCTGTCAGCTCTACCTTCACGATCACCTGTTCAGCCACAGTATCAGTCCAAGCCACTCACCTGGACTCTAACAATAGCCTCCTGCCTTCTTGTTTCCACTCTTTCCTCCTAACAGTGTATTCTCTCCATAGTTTCCAGAGTCATCTCTCACATGCTTAAAGCCACCAATGGCTTTCCATACCACACCAAAATCCTAACTCTGGCTCACAAGATCCTACACCATCTGCTCTGCTCTCTACTGGTATGATCTTCTTTCCTACTACTCTTCCTCCCACTTGTTTGTCATGCTCTGGCCACACTGGCCTTCTTGCTGCTCCTTGAACATCTAGATATATGCTCACCTCACTGCCTACTTACTGTTCCCTCTCCTTGGAATGTTCTCTCCCGGATACCCACATAGCTAACCCCTTATTTTCTCTGGAGAGGCTCTCTTTGCCCATATAAAAAACAGAAATGGCTCCTTCACCTCCTAAGTCGTGGCACTCACAGCCCTCACATGTTTTCATCCCATGGTACTTATCACCAGCTGGCATACATAAACATTCAGACATAATACACATACTTTTTTCAGTACAATGCAAATTCCAGAGAGCACAAACTTTGCTTTGCTCACTTCTGTGAAACAGTCCCTGGCATATATTAAGCACTCAATAAATATTTGTTAAATAAATAGTGAGGCAGACAGCAAGAGACTGACAGAACGTGCACAAGAGAAGCAGGCACAATTTAACTAGTTGAAAATGTCTGCCATTTCATTGAATGAGCATTTACCCAGCACCCTGGGATGGGAGACATTAAGCTACTATTCCCTTAGTTGGACTCAAGTCTTGCGTATCTTAATGCATGTATGCTTGAGATGTGGTAAGGAGGATAATACAGTACATCTTTAAATAATACAACATTCAACCAAAAAATTGGTGATCTGTTCCAAGGATAAAGAATAACTTGTTTCACTTGAACATCCTGACAAACACACTGTATTGTTTGGGTGATCTGAAGAATTTTGAAGGCTAATTCTGACTATCTGTAACATCTGCTTTGAGACCTAGCTTCAGCAAGGGATATGACTCTAATAAAACCTTGGGCTTTAAGTCTATTTTTGGCTTTGCCCTTTATTAGAGAATATGACATTGGGCAAGTAACTTATTCTCTCTAAATCTTTGTTTCCTCATTGATGAAATGAAAATGATCACATACCTGTTTTATAGGGTGGTTGAGAGGACTAAACAAAATAATGGAAGTAAAAACACTGTGACTGTCATACCGCACATGATTTGTATATATTTACTTTTGATTTTTTTAAAGATCTAGTAAGAATACTTGACATATCTAAGGTCCCTCATCCTTTCTTAAAAGTTGTGCGAACTGTATTTTAGCTCTAAAATCACTTCAGACATGATAATATATTCCTTTTAGGAAAAGGTTACAACTAAAGTCTTTAAAAAGAATAAAATGAGCCATATATTCAATAATTCCTAATATCTAAAATCACACTTACATTACCTCAATTACAAGTATAATCTTGCTCAGTTATACGGTTTTTGAGTCTTCTGTGAACAACTATGTAAACTGCAAGTGCTTTGAAAAATGCTTGATGATCCTTCTGATTAATAGAGTCTTACCTCAGGGCACCAGGGTGGCTCAGTGGGTTAAGCCTCTGCCTTTGGTTCAGGTCATGATCTCAGGGTCCTAGGATCGAGCCCCACATCAGGCTCTCTGCTCAGCAGGGAGCCTGCTTTCCCCCTCTCCCACTGTCTGCCTCTCTGCCTACTTGTGATCTCTCTGTCAAATAAATAAATCTTTAAAAAAAAATAGTCTTTCCTCTGTTGACTGCTGACTGCCTACCTCTTAGGTACTCCAAACTCACAAAAACTGGGCACCAATGTTGTGCCAGTAGTCCTCAAGACTACTCCCAGAACTTATAGGACTTAGAAGTTGTTAAACTCATAAATACGATTTATTATAGTGAAAGGATACAGAGCAGGATTAAAGGGCATCAGGTGGAGTCTGGAGGATACTAGCACCAGTCTCCAAGCACCCTCTCCCAATGGAGCTGCCCAGGACATGACTCAATCAATCCCCCAACAACTAACTGCAGCAACATGTATGAAGTGCTTTTTACCAGGAAAGCTCTCCTGAGTCTAAGAGGCCAGAGTTTTTTTTTTTTGTTTTTGTTTTTTTTTACAAGGTTTAGTCACCAAATCTTCAGTCTCCCAGAGGAAAAGAAGGTGTTCACCATAATCATACTTTTTGTACAAATGATCTAGAAAAGCTGGTAAAATTTGGCTAGGTTCCAGACATGAAAAACACTCATCAATTAATAACAAAGGCTCAGTTTCCAGGAGTTAGCCAAGGGCCAATTATGGAAGTATGCAAGTAGACCCTTCTGAAAATGTACAGGATTTGAACAACTCACACCTGCTGGGTTAACTCTTTCTTATACACCTGGCAAGTGAAGACATACAATTCAGGGTATGAAGAGTGACTACAGATCAGGTAAACCACTTTTAAGAGACACAGTCCCCATACCAGGTCCACCCATCTCTTTCTTACCTTTCTAAGGATACTATTACTCTGTTACATCTATACCTCACTCTGGAGCTTAGGAAAGCACGGCAGAAAGCACTATGTTAAAAGCTTCATAAGGAAGTAGTTAGAGCTGTTTTATATCTCATTCTTCCTTTCAAAATCAAAGGTCAAAAGATGGAATAGAGAACCAAGATCAGCATTTTCCAAACTATTTCTCAAGAAATGTTAATAGGTATTGTGCAAATAAATGGTTAAATAAGTACTGGGGACAGTCTATACAATATCTCTTCCTTGGAGATTTATGAGGTTTTCCAGCATTTTAAAAGCTCTAATCTTAAAATTAAAAAAAAAACTGTTAATTTTATAAATCTAGCCATTTACTGAATTTCTTTTCCCAGGAGCAATTTTAGAATGGGACATCTATTAACATCTGATGGAAAACTGTTGGGGAAACTCCAGAATAGAAAGATTTTACCGGAGGTTCTTAAGGGTGAGATGTCATGCCACCATGTTGGAACCATCCCAGTCATAACATAGGTGATTCTGAACGTACTTGGATATTCTAATTTTGTAAATTTTTTTCAATTAACAAGTTGATTTCATGATCATCTAATGACTAGAACTGAAAACCATGTTAGCACCAATGCTGAGTAAATTGGCCATGACAATGCAATCAATAATAAGAAAATGTAATGAGCTGATCAGTGAGGAGACAAAACTTGATTACATAATCACATTTAGTAAACTCACTGACTTCTAATTTTGGCAAAGGTACCGCTGCTCTTTCAAACACTCAAGAATAGGCTTACTGTTTCATCAAAGTTTTCAGCCTAACTAAAGGATGGTCTAATTGTGTCAGGAAAAGACCCAGCAAGGATAAAATGAGAATTCAAGAGAAAGGGGCAAGCACTAACACTGGTATTCCAGAAATTACATAGCAGAACTGGCAAAAATCATCCAGAAACAAGTTAAAACCTAAATATAGCTCTTTGGCATAGTTCACATATTTGCTGTTTTCTTTGTCACTCGCTGCTACAAAAGACCATTCTGGGTTGCTAATAACAACCACATGTCTTTTCATAATGAAAAGTGAGCTATAAAGTGGAAATGAAGTTTGAAGAGGAGAAAAAAAGAATGAGTCCTCAGTCTTGATCCCTAGTTCCAACACCTCCTCTTTCTTGCTCTTGATTAACTACCTTCAAAATCATTCCCATTTTCACCACTCTTAGACCCCTGAAATAGTCAACTTAAATATTTCACCCATCTTTCCTCTTCCCTTCCACTCCAGGGTTCCTATTTCTGCCTAAGCTTCTGAAACTTCACTAGTCAAGAGCCTCATCACCACTGGGAGGCAGACAAAGAAAAGAAGTGGAAGTTTCACAAGTCATTCAGCATAAATTGCAAATTAATTGTGTCATCTGGAACCACTTAACTTTCCTTTTAGAACAAATCTAACCAATGCTCAAAGTTTAATATATCTACCTTTTTACTAAGACAAAATGAGCAAATAACTGCTAAATCTCACCTGATGCTTCATGTAATGATTCATGTAGGGAGTTGCCATTCTACTAACTTTGAGGCAAAATGGACATAGCAAGTTCTTAGTGTTTTCATGAGATGCTCTAAAATGACTTTCTACATCAGAAAATGTTGATGATCTAAACTGGCACACCTAGAAATACAAAGAGGGTTTAGTTTAACTTCAAAGTTCATAACTGAAACACAATTACATCAAAGTAGCAATGACAAGTCATTCGTTTAAGAAGAATATCATGCACTACTAATTCAGCTCTGTTGCCTATACAACCAAGAATTCTAGCACTGAAAATAATAAGTATAATCCTTGAAACAGAAAAGTTATCTTTTGAAGTTTAGAGATATATTCCTAAATATAACCAGATTTCCTTCTTTTCAGGTCTATTATCCCCCCTAACTTGCTTGAATTTTCAAACTCTGACATCTCTTGTCCGAGAAAGATTTTCCTGCTACATAATATAGAATATTCTTTTGATTTTAGACAGCATCCAGGCTATGGCAAGAGGCAATTTTTCTTATCTTGCTATCTAATTGGGGACCACTTCAAATTCTGGAAAAATACAAGTTCCAAAGCATTTAGCTAAGTTCCCCATAACTAACAGCATTTCCTATTTCTCTGCCATGTCTATGTTCTTCGGTACATGGTAAGAAAATCCACATATTTGTCTTCTCCAGCAGAGTGTTTTGTTTGTCTAGTACAGGGTCAGTAAACCATAGCCTCTAGTCCAAGTCCAAAACCACCAACACATATATGAGTTATATCAAGGGAGTTTCCACTATTGAAGGTTTTAGTAATTCATTTTATTCTAACAGTTATTAAAAAGATCAATAGAATAATACTATTTTGTAGCACATGAAACTAAAACAAGCACCTGAGTACATGATAAAATGTATGTGTACCTGGCAAATATATGGCATTTCACCGGGTTTATGAGTATCCTTCATATGTTGCAAAAGAGCATGCTCTGTTTCAAATGATAATTCACAGATTTTGCAAATAGCTGAAAGTAGGAAAAAAAACATTACCATTTTACAGACGTATAATAAATAAAAGATTCATTTTGTACATCCACAACAATAGCAATAAGTAGTAATAGTAACAGTGGTGATGGCTCCGACAGTTCCATAGTTGTTAACTCTGTAACGTTGTTCCACGGACTCTACTTATATTAGCTTACCTCTCATGCCATCATTGACAAAATACTGCTATTTTACCCCCATTTTTCAGATAAGGAACCTGAGGCACAGAAAGATTAAGTAACTTGCCTGAAATCTCACAGCTATATTAAGATGCAGAACTGGAATTTAAATCCTAGCTAACCCCAGACTCGGTGATTTTTAATTATCATTGTGGTTACTTTTCTTATGAGAGTATAAATCAAGATTAACGATTTCATACTTGCAAACCAGAGAACCCTAACTTAGCCCCTTATATATAATGAATGCATGAGTTATGCAAAGGAAGTTTCTATGTACAAGAGGGACTTCAGTTTTAAAAAGCAACTCTATTGAAAAGTTTATATAAGTGAAAACTTGTTTTTAAACTGTGCCCTCAAATCCAAAGTCCATTTCTCATTTTTAGGTTTCTAATCAGAATTCTTAAGAATTCCTCATAGTTTAGATGACCAAAAAAAATTACTGTTCAAGACTTCAATAAAATTGTGACTTACTAGAAAACTCATGGGGAGTGTGTGTACTCTCAATGTGACACTGCAGCTGGAATGGTGTGGGATACTGACGGTAACAGTGCTGGCAGGTAGTGTGGTTTTCCCAGCTCTCACTGTTCTGCTTCTCAAGTTCCAAATGGTGCTTCATGTGGTTCATAAACCTGTAAGTGATGTCAACAGGTACAAATATTCAGATTTATAATCAAGGGAAAAAACCTCTCAAATAAAGATTTAAACCTAAATGGTAAAAATGCAGTTGTAGTACTCAAAATAATATCTCCAAAGCCTTAGAGTCCTCTAAAAAGTGTGCACTTGAAATAATCACATTTATCTGTTTGTCAGTCAGAGAGAGCGAGCGAGCAGAAGTAGGGGGAGGGGCAGGCAGAGCAAGATCGATGCGGCACTCGATCCCAGGACCCAGGGATCATGGCCTGAGCTGAAGGCAGACTCTTAACCGACTGAACCATCCAGGTGTCCCAATAATCACTTTCATTAAGTGGCTCAGTAAACATCTTTCTTTGCATCTTTGTTTTAAAACAATCCATTTATACAGTTCATATGAAATACCACTAATTTGATAGAACTCTTCATTACTTCAGATTTTAAAAATTTTGTAAAAAGGGGCTCCTGGGTGGCTCATTCGGTTAAGTATCTGCTTTTAGCTCAGGTCATGATCCCAGGGTCCTGGGATTAAGTCTTGAGTCGGGCTCCCTGCTCAGAGGGAAGTCTGCTTCCCCCTCTTCTCCTCGCTCCTTCTCTCTGTCTGTCTGTCTCGCTATCTCTGTCTCTCTCAAATAAACAAACAAATAAATAAATAAATAAATAAATAAATAAATAAATAAAACCTTAAAAAAATTTGTAAAGGACAACAGGCTTCTTTTCCATACATGAAGTACTATTTACATTTGAAAATAAAATCCCTACAGAAAGAAAATCCTATCACCGAAAACACCTACACAGTCCCGAGAGAAATCTTTCAAAGATATACAATAGGTTGTCAGCTGCCTAATGACAAATTAATATTTTTATTTGTGTTTTGGTTTCTAAATGCAAGTAGTAGCAATTTTAATACCTTTAATTATGAGAATTTTTCTTGATTACAAGAACCTTTTTGTTTTATTTAATAGTGCTGGTTTACTGTGAGCACAAACACTTCATTTTTCACAGACCATGCCCTCTGAAGCACAGTCCACTTTTTAGCTCTACATTCCACTATCAGATTCCCTAATAGGTTTCTTTTTTTTTAAAGGTTTTATTTATTTATTTATTTGACAGAGAGACAGAGATCACAAGTAGGCAGAGAGGCAGGCAGAGAGGAGGAAGCAGGCTCCCTGACGAGCAGAGAGTCCGATGCAGGGCTTGATTCCAGGACCCTGAGATCATGACCTGAGTTGAAGGCAGAGGCTTAACCCACTGATCCACCCAGGCGTCCCCCTAATAGGTTTCTTATAAGAAGGAATTGTGACCTTCAGTGGCAGAGAGTAAAATATAAAAAGGCAGATCTATTTCAGAGCGCTTATTAAAACTTTTTACTAAATTTCAAAGTAAAGTTATTCAAAGTAACAATTTTAATACTGAGTCAAATATTAACAGTTATTCATTATGAGTCCCAAAAGGATATAATCTTGAAGTGATAGTGTCATCAACCTAGGTAGCAATCGTAATACACAGGCTTTAACATTTACCTTTTTACATCTCCTGCTCATGGTACACTCTGAAATATTTTTTTCTCCTTTAATTTTTTTAAGTAGGCTCCATGCCCAATGTGAGGCTTGAACTCATGACCCTCAGAGGAAGAATCACATGCTCTGCCAACTGAACCAGCCAGGTAACCACCCCCTTTAATTTTAACATCATCTCTATTAAAATCCGTTTTTTAAAAAAGTCCTAGTTTTGGCTAAATATTTACATATAAAGGTCATAAACCATTAACCTTTCAGCTCATAACTTTTTTTTTGTCAGAGAGAGTGAGCACAGGCAGACAGAGTGGCAGGCAGAGGGAGAAGCAGGCTTTCTGCTGAGCAAGGAGCCCGATGTGGAACTCGATCCCAGGACGCTGGGATCATGACCCGAGCCGAAGGCAGCCGCTTAACCAACTGAGCCACTCAGGCGTCCCAGCTCATAACTTTAATAAAATCTATCTGTATAAAGTGATCTGTTAACTAACTAGCTATCTCTCAATTATTACACTGCCCCCATCGGCAGTGCATGTTTCTTAAACCAGCAGATGGAGATGTGGGAAAAAGCAACCCCCTCACAAAACTATTCTCAGAATAAAATAGCCCTAACTGGTTTTAGTGACACTTAATGCAGGAAAAAATAATCCTACAATATCTTGACAGGGCAGAGAGTAGAAATCTTGAACTATCAGCTTCTATCATCCTCTAAAAACCATCAATTTGTCATCCCAGATTTTACCATTAAGGTAAAATATTATTTAACACACATTAACCTCTTTGGTTACCCAGAGTCTACTGTTCAGGTTTTATTTACTAAAAATATGTCAAAAATGCTACAAAATTTCTAAATGTTATAAAATATGGTTAGCTTAAAATTTCTAGATATTCTGATAATGTGTAACCAGTCCTTTGGAATGAAAACAAAAAAAAGGGAAACTTCATGTTAAATAGTAAATGGACTAATCTTACAGGAAAAAACAAAACGCTATTGCTGAAAGAACTTCGAATATCATATAACATTTAAATATAATAAGGAACTGAAACAGAGACCCACTTTTCTATGTATTTTACTGAATTTATTAATTTTCTTTTCTGATATATTTTACTGTAAAAAGGTAAAGATATGGACGCAGGTCACAGAGTTCTATCCTAACACTCTTTCAGTGTTACATATCAAAGCACAATTCTTTTCTCTTAAGCTACTGGGCCATTAGCAACTAATGGCTATTAGGGCTTGATAAAAGGAGGTAAAGAAGTATGAAAACTCATATAAATATATGTGAAAGGTCTTTGAAAACTCTAAGGCACTACCACAAATGTAACATTCATAATTGTTTTAGGTTTATATTACAATGCATTTCAGGGGTTTTCTATGTACTTTATCTTGGACTCAAGAATTCATCAGACAACAAAATAAATGCTAGGCTTAGAAATGACCTATAGGTTACCTAAGAATGCTAGTTACAAAGGATAGTTATCAATGGTAAATATCTTTAAAAGTTTACACATACATGTGTGTACATGTGTGTGGTACAATATACATACATATGACTATCTCGTCTAAGGGAAGTATACTGGTGTCTGTAATTTACTCCGAAATGTAAAATAAATCAGATAGAGTCTATTGGTGAACAGGTGTGTGGTACACCTGAGGTAAAGTGTTAATGGTAGAATCAAGGTGGTAATTATACAGGTGTTTACTGTAAAATTTTTTCAACTTTGAGGAATATTTGAAAATTTTTATAATAAAATGTTGAAAAGACAATGTCAGACTACATAACCAATGAAAAATACCAATCAGTATATCTTGTTTTGTTTTGGTTGCTATCTTACTTAGGATTGTAGATACGTAATATGCCATATTCCTCAAAGACTGCAAAGTGTAAGTTCCTAAAATTTAAAGCATACACATATAAATCTTCAAAATCTTCAAAACTGAAAATTAAATCTCTACTTTTAAAATGTGTTAAATTATAAACTCAAAGCAGACATGTTTCATAAACTGGCACTTCTCTAAAGATCATCAAAAGTGTCACTTTCTCTGCAAGGTTAATGTGATAAAGATGATAATACGAATTAAAAAACTAGAACATTAAATAAGACTAATATGGAAGAGGTCAAACTGGATAAAGTAGTTCTTCCTGTGACAGGCAAAGCAGATTCAAAAGAAGCTTAATAATAAAAATACCTCATTGAAAATTATGAGTTCGATGATAAATATAGACAAGTGATTTTCTCTAAGTTAAAATAAATTTTGCCCTGAAGTTGTATTAAAGAAATACAATGAAGGGGATCCAAGTGTCAAACTCCTAAAATACAATAAAAGACAAAAGCTTTGACACAATAATCTGCTTTTATTCCTAGTAGAAAGTGTTAAATTGCTTATCTAGGATAGCACAGGAAAATAAAGATATGATATTTATATCAGTAGCATTCCAATTTTCAGACAGAGAAATAAATATTTACATACCTAATATTATTTTTAAGAACTTTCAAGCAACTGAAGCATTTAAAGGTTGTGTAAGTCTTCTGTTCATCATCAATAGCTCCTTCATGTCTTCCATAGTAAAAGTCACTAACTAACATGATCAATTTTCCTTTCTCTGCACCGTTTTTTTTATTTTCACTAATAGCAAGTTCTGCTTTAATCATTTCCAAAAATTTATTTACCATGTCTGGACAACAACGCTGAAAGAGAAAAAAAATATATACATAAGGTTTACTTAGGTCTCTTCAAAAAATTAGATACCAAAAAAATGATTCTGTGTTTATAACTAGGGCCAGCTTATGTAAAACTATGCTTGGCAATATATCTGGAGAGACAGTCACCAAAATGTTGGCTTCTTTCTTTATAAAGTCTAAAAAATTCAAACAATCAAAAATTCAAACATTTCTTACCTTAATAATGAAATAACTTCAAAAACAAATTAAAAACCTGAGGCCAGGGATGGCTATATACCTAACACCATTTTCCTTGTAATTTCAATTTTCAGATGTAAATATTTTAATAATTTGATCCTTGGCCCCAAACCATTCACTTCATATGTCAAGATACAGCTTAAAAGGAAAGGTATTTTATTTTATTTATTTTATGTTTTTAAAAGATTTTCATTTATTTATTTATTTTTTAAGATTTTATTTATTTGACAGACAGAGATCACAAGTAGGCAGAGAAGCAGGCAGAGAGAGAGAGAGAGGAGGAAGCAGGCTCCCTGCTGAGCAGAGAGTCCGATGCGGGGCTCGATCCCAGAACCCTGGGATCATGACCTGAGCCGAAGGCAGAGGCTTTAACCCACTGAGCCACCCAGGCGCCCCAAGATTTTCATTTATTTTTTTGACACACAGAGAGAAAGCACAAGCAGGGGGAGCTACAGGCAGAGGGACAGGGAGAAACAGGCTTCCCACTGAGCAAGGAGTCCAATGCACAGCCCGATCCCTGGAGCCTAGGATCATGACCTGAGCCAAAAGAAGACACTTAACTGACTAAGCCACTCAGGGGTCCCGGAAAGGTAGTTTTATATGCCATTATGTACATGTTAAATTATCAAATAATACAGTAGTATTTTGTTAAAGCCTGGCTGGAACTTGACTCTGAGCACAGGTAACCTGCCATTCCCCAGACTCAAGGTAGTGGAAAATGTATGGGACACAAAAAGAGAAGTGTAAGTTATAATTAAAAAACCTCAACACATTCTATCTAGAATGCTGAAATATGTGAAGGGGAAATCAACCTCATGAATAAAATCAAGACCTCATATAAACTGACCCTAATATGGATACTTTAATATATAAACTTTTAATTCTCAATGAGATAAAACTAGTTCATTTATTATATACAATTTTCAGTTGTGGAATTTCACTAGAAGAATTCTTTAAGAATAGCTAGAGAGCAAAAATATAAACTTTTCTTTTTTTTAAAAGATTTTATTTATTTATTTGACAGACAGAGATCACAAGTAGGCAGAGAGGCAGGCAGAGAGAGAGAGAGAGGAAGCAGGCTCCCTGCTGAGCAGAGAGCCCAATGCGGGGCTCGATCCCAGTACTCTGGGATCATGACCTGAGCCAAAGGCAGAGGCTTTAACCCACTGAGCCACCCAGGCGCCCCTAAAAATATAAACTTTTCTAAAAACCCAAACTACATACTCACAAAGCAACCACAAAGTGAAAAACCTAGAAAAATAAAGAACAAAAAATTGTGACAGAATCAAGACCAATCAAACCTATCAGATCAATTAAATCTATCCTATCAATGAATACAGATGGGTGGGTTTAACTCAGCTACTGAAAAAAGAAATTTCACACAGGATCACAAAAGAAAAAATGACTCTGTGAAATTAGGAAATATACCCAAAACAAAGTGATTTGGAAGGCTTGAAAATAAAAAGTTAAACAAAGAATATAACAGCAAATGGTAAGAATGAGAAAACAAGGGTTGTGAAACTATGTCAAACAAAATAGAATCCAGGCCAAAAAGGGAACATGTAATAAAAATGCTAAAGGATACATTTACAATGAAGTTAAAAGAGATATATCCATCTATATCCTAAATAGTAATGGCCATAAAACAGAATTGGAAGGTATCAAAGAAAATAGTGGTAATTTGAGACTTTGAGACCTTCTCAAATAATGACAGAACAAACAGATGAACATAAATGAAGACACAGGAACCTCTTAACATAGTAGTGTGTTAGATCTGATTGATAACTATCAATTCCATACTCCAAAAAGAAATCAGATCCCTTATTTTCAAGTTTCTATGTAACATTCAAGAAAGCAGCCCATACAATTTTCAAAATGGAGAGAAAAGGACCTGGGCTTTGCCATCAGAGACTGAGGTTTCAATTTTAGCTATGCCAATTAATTGGCTATAAAACAATGAGAAAAAGATCCAGCCTAAAGAATTTTCTAAGGATTAAATGAAATAATACCTTAAAGCTTAGTACAGTGTCTTAGATCAATAGAATGTTTAACTAACACTAAAAATTCTTCCTTTGGAAGAAAAGATTATCTTTGTGGTATATTGATCTCCTTACCTATAATAATAGCAAAAGATCATTCACAGATAAACTAAAATTCACATTTTTTTCAAAATGGAAATCCTTACTGTACTATTATGTAAATTTAACTGATATATAAAAATGCATAAGTGGAATGCCTGGATGGTTCAGGTGGTTGGGCCTTTGCCTTTGGCTCAGGTCATGATCCCAGGTTCCTGGGACTTAGTCCCACATTGGTCTCCTTCCTCAGCTGGAAGCCTGCTTCTCCCTCTGCGTGTTGCTCTCCTGTTTGTGTGCAAACTCTCTTCCTTTCTGACAAATAAATGCAAAACCTTTAAAAACAAAGCATAAGCTAAAATGTACAAGTCTCACTTATTTTTTTAATGACAAACAATGCTACAAGAAATAAAAGCTACATTTTAGAGTATGTTTGCTACTTTTTTCAGGTATAGAAGTATATATAATGTGCTATGATTTGTGTATAAAATGGAAAATAAGAACACTCATGTGTGCTTATACATTCAGAAATTAAGTCAAAGAGGATATAAAACAAATTAGTAAAAAATGATTTCCTTTGCAAGTCCTACTGGGAACTACGCAAATAGATGAAGTGGAATTCTTCACTGTGTACCTTCTTTTTTCTTCTTTTTTTAAAGTTTTTACTTTCATTCAAGTTAGTTAACATACAGTGTTATATTAGTTTCAGGTGTACAATATAGTGATTCAACACTCCACACAACATCTGGTACTCATCACAAGTGCAGTCCTTAATCACCTATTTCAGCTATTTCTGCCCCCTTTGGTAACCATTAGTTTGTTCTCTATAAGTCTGCTTCTTGGTTTGTCTCTCTCTTCCTCTTTTTTCCTTTGCTCAAGTTTGTTTCTTAAATTCCACATATAAGTGAAATCACATGGTATTTGTCTTTCTCTGACTGACATTTCTCTTGGCATACTCTCTAGCTCCATCCAAGTCACTGTAAATGGCAAGATTTCACTTTCTATGGCTGATTCATATTCCATTGTGTATATATTCCACATCTTTATTCATTCATCAATGAATACCTGGGCTGCTCCCATATCTTGGCTATTGTAAATAATGCTGCTATGAATATGGGGGTGCAAGGTATCTCTCTGAATTAGTGTTTCTGTATTCTTTGGGTAAATACCCAATAGTGCAATTCTGGTGGTAGGGTAGTTCTATTTTTAACTTTTTGAGGAACCTCCATTCTGTTTCCTGCATCAGTTCACATTCCCACCAACACTTGCATGAGGGTTCCTTTTTCTACACATCCTTGCCAACACCTTTTGTTTCTTGTACTGTTGATTTTAGCCATTCTGACACGTGTTAGGTGATATTTTATTGTAGTTTTAATTTGCATTTCCTTTATGGTAAAGAATGATGAACACCCACCTTCTTATACTTTTTGAATCACATGACTTCATTACCCTTCAAATTAAATAAACTAAAGGTAACTAAACTACTCAGCCTTTTCTCTTTCCATCTATGATGCAAAACATGATGGACACTGGGGAGGGTATGTGCTATGGTGAGTGCTGTGAATTGCGTAAAACTGATGAATCACAGACCTGTACCCCTGAAACAAATAATACATTATATGTTAATTTTAAAAGGTCAATTATCATATGGTTTCACTTACTTGTGGAGCATAAGGAATAGCATGGAGGACATTAGGAGAAGGAAAGGAAAAGTGAATTGGGGGAAATCAGAGGGGTAGGCGAAGCTTGAGATACTGTGGACTCTGAGAAACAAACTGAGGGTTTTGGAGGGAAGGGGCCTGGGGAGATGGGTGAGCCTAGTGGTGGGTATTAAGGACACATATTGCATGGAGCATTGGGTGTGGTGTATAAACAATGACTCTTGGAACACTGAAAAAATAACATAAAATTTTTAAAAAATAATAAAACAGATAACTCTATTTTTTATATTTATAAATAGAATACTGTAGTGAGTATATTAATGAAGGATCATTGCTACACTATTTTTATAAATATAAAAAATACTGTAGTAAGTATATTAATGAAGGAACACTGTTACATGCAACAGAATGGATAAATTTCACAGGCATGATGTTGAAGAAACAAGAAAAAGTGGACATATTTAAAGCTAAAGACTAGGCAAAACTAGAAGTCACAATCAAGGACAATTTGGGGAAGTGACTCTTTCTTGTACATTCGAGTGTTCTATTTCTGGAGCTGTAGTCTTGTAATGGAAGTGTTCACTTTGTAAACAGTGATTATTTTACTGGTGACTTGTTCAATTTTCTGTACCCTTCAACAATTTAAAAGTGGTGTCTGATTCTCGACCTTCATTAATAAAGAGTTAAATCTGTTAATGAAAAATCATGTATGTTTATAACATATAAAATATCTTATATTATATTATATTAATATATTATATATTATATATAACATATAAAAAATTTAAAAAGATAAAAAACATCAAGTATCTGTATATAATATCACAAAGATAGGAAGATTGGAAACACTGGCGAAAGTTAATTTTTATATAAAACCAAAACCCAAAGTCCAGTTCACAGGAATCACACTCAGGGAAGTAGAAAAAGTGATAGATCAAACACAGTTTTGCCCAAGAATAAAGAAATTGTGTTTGGAATTTTACAATTCTTTCTACATTTTTTGTAAAATGCTGAATTTCAATGAAAAATCTGCCAATCTTTGAAATAGCAAGCAATTAACTTTTCCTAAGTTGCTTCTTTGCTTTGCAGTCTTCTCATCCCCTCTTTCTTGAATATAATCTGCACTGCCTTTTTTCTTGCCTCCTTTCTCCCTTCTTGCCATTTATATTTGGGCATGCAAGAAGAATACAGATTATCTTTCCACAGACAAAGAGAACACTGCAATATCTACCAAAATATTTTAAGCGGAATAATACTTAGACCTCATACTTCATTAGTACTTCAAAAATTACCCAAAACCGAATTTCAAGAGCTTCCTATGCCAACATAAAGCTAGAATTTATAACAACTATACAAACTACATTCTGGATTGAGTTAACACTATCACTTCTTGTGAAATGCTCTACCATTATGAGTTTATGTCCAAGTGTTGAACATTAAAATGCAAGACTGAGATTTTGAGTAATGTGACATGCATATGTCACCAGACAAAAAATCATGTTAAAAAAAGGAATTTTTAAGTTACAGGAAAGATTAAGCACCAAACAAAATGCCTGCTTTATAAGAGGTTTGAAGAATGGCATTACCTAGTCAATAAAATATACTGAAAAATATATTATTTTCATTAAAAGTTAAAAGAGACTATGGACTCTGAAAAACAATCTGAGGGTTTTGAAGGGGTGGGGATGGGAGGTTGGGGGAACTAGGTGGTGGGTATTAGAGAGGGCACGGATTGCATGGAACACTGGGTGTGGTGCAAAAAACAATGAATACAGTTACTCTGAAAAGAAATAAAAAATTAAAAAAAATAAATTAATTTTAAAAATACAATATGCATAGATTCTTTTTTTTTTTAAAGTAGGTTCCACATCCCGTGTGGAGCCCAATGCAGGGCTTGAACTCACCACGGTGAGATCAGATCAAGACCTGAGTGGAGATCAAGTTAGATACTTGACTGACCCACCCAGGTGCTGTACAATATGCATAGAGATTCAAGTGCCACGGGTGAGTGCCAGCGGCCTGGGGACCCTATAGGACAAAGGCTGCAGCCCCTGCACAACCTGGTGGCTGTGATGCACAGGACTCACTTATCTGGGAATCATTTGGGATTGAATAGAGCAATGTAATTACCGGCTGCCCCAGAGAGGGAGAGGATTCCCCTACCCCTGAACCGTTTTTGCTGGTTGGGGCAAATGATTTTACAAATGAGATTTGCCATTGACATCTGCTCTACAAGTGGCAAAATGTCAGAAATGAAGAGAAAGAAATGTTAAGATCCAAGAAAGAAATGATTTATCTGGGAAAACTCCAACACCCACAAATACTCTTACGGCTGTCACTAAGAGAAACACCAGACTTTCTACAAAGTCTTCTAGATATAATACTTTAAAGAGCTTGGAGGTAGGTCTATTTATTCCATTTCTTAAAGTACAACATATTGTGTTTAATGTATTCTCTCAAGCCTCAGAAATCAATTCAACGACAGTCACTTCTCTTAGACAAAGCAACAACTAAAGCTTTGATCTAGCATCCTTAGCTGTAAAGCAACTCCCACACGTTGTCACTTTCACCTTACTTCAGCATCCAGCTCCAGAAAACAGATACTTTTACCAATAATTTTATGGTTGATAAAGCCACTATCACATCTAATAAAATTATCAAACATTACTTGGTGTTCTCTAATACCCCCCCCCAAAATACAATATGCATATACTACTATAGTACATATAAGCCTATTTTTTTAAGATTTCATGATTGGGAAAGATTTTAAAATCTTGTATAAAGATAATCATCATGGGGGCGCCTGGGTGGCTCAGTGGGTTAAGCCTCTGCCTTCAGCTCAGGTCATGATCTCAGGGTCCTGGGATCGAGCCCCGCATCAGGCTCTCTGCTCCACAGGGAGCCTACATCCACCTCTCTCTCTGCCTGCCTCTCTGCCTACTTGTGATCTCTGTCTGTCAAATAAATAAATAAAATCTTTAAAAAAAAAAGATAATCATCATGAATATAAATTTTTGCTTAGGTTATATAGAAATACCAATGAGAAGATTTCTTATCTAAATACCCGGACAAACTGGCATTTACCGCATATCAATCCTTAATGTTTTCAGAGAGTTGTCAATATTTTTAAAAATCAAAAATTTTTTAAACTTTTTTTAAAAGATTTTATTTTTTGTCTGAGAGAGAGGAAGAGAGAGAGAGAGAGAAAGCGCACAAACAGTGAGAGCAGCAGGAAGAAGGAGAAACAGGCTCCTTGCTGAGCAAGGAGCCAGATGTGGGACTTGATCCCAGGACCCTGGGATCATGACCTGAGCTGAAGGCAGATGCTTAACTGACTTAGCCACTCAGAGTCCCTAAAAGACAAATTTTGAAAAAGTTTTACCTTCATGTGATATTTCAAAGGATCCAGAAGATTAAACTTTACATTGCACTTTGGACAGGATCTTAAAAAAGGTGTTCCAGTTTTATAGTGAGCTGATGAGGTATTTGTACCTAAAATAGATTAAAAATTTTCAGGACTCAAATTCTTTTTTAAACATTAAACAACCAGTAAAAAAGTTTAAAAATTCATCGCAATTTCTAAAATTTATGTATAAATAATATAATTTCTATTTTATATGCCAGATTCATATTTACCTTTTGATATCATAACATGGGAAGATGTCACTGGAGGAGAGTTACTTAGAGACAATGAAGCACAAGGACTTATATCAGAAACACTTTCGCTGGTCTTTGGCTTTTTTGGAGTAACACTGTTTACTTTAGAAGCAGAAGAACGTTTTAATATAGGCAGAGTTTCATCTATACCTAAAATAATAGTGGGAAAAATATTTGTAAATACTTTAGTATAGACCACTGCCTACAAATGCTACTAAAATGGCTTTATATTTGAATTTAAGTAAAAACACCTTGAAGCTAAATTAAAGATAATATAATTGAATTATATCATATAAATGACAAAGAATGATCAAAATTTGTATGATCACAAAAGAAAAATTTATATGATCAATAGGTAGAAAAATTGTACAAACAGCTATTATGAACTACATATATTTTAACAACTCACGGAATAAACATTTTATACAAGAAAATTCTAAAAATACTTTGAAATAATATATAAATAGGTATAAAAGAAGTCAGACCAAAAGAATCTGAAGCAAAAGAAGAAAAAAAAATGAAAACACAGAGAATGTTCCAAGCTCAGTTCCCACAAATGAATTTACCTTTAGATGCTTAAATACATTTAGGCTTGGAAACAAAACAACTTTTGTTCTAAAAATTCAGAGAAACCCTTTAAGATACTTAAAAAACTAAGATGTCTAATGGAAAACTCTGAGTTGGTTCTTTTTCCACTTACTAACAATCTGATGGGTTTAAATTATCCGTTTATTTCCTATGAACCAAGTACAAACAACTAATCTTGAATAATACCTTGCTCGTTCATATGAAAAGTCTTAAGTTAGTATAATGGTATTCAAACTATATTCCCCTGAGGCTAATGGTTTTGCCTTAGGGAATTTACTAAGCATGTCAGATAGAAAAACTCTCCTTTTACCTTTTTTAAAAAATTAGATTTTTACATAAAATTTTGTTTGAAGAGATTTCATTACTAAAGATAGTTCTGAGTTTGAAAACCATCACCTTAAAGGCTAAGGTATCATGTAATTCAGGGCATTTGCAAAACAAGTGGGGTTATTTAGGCTAAAACCAGACACAGCACAAGTCCTTTTGAAAATAACATAAAATTGTACTTCGTGATAAAGATTCCAAAACTGCACATCATATTTCAATGCTCCCAACTGTACATTAATAGGAGAAGCCGTAGAATAGAGAAATACATAGAAAAGGAGAGCACTGCATTAGTGGACTCCTCTACCAAATTTGTGGGTCATTCTTTGAGTTAACAGAAATGATTTTTTTCCATCTTCTAGCACATGGTTACTGACAGCTATACTACAGGCACTTGGGACTGTGATCTGTATCATCACTAACATTTTTCTCAGATGCTTAGGTTACTTAAACAACCAGTAAGTGCTGGTATTTTGGCAACTAGTTCTCTAGCAGGCTGTATCATAAAATAGACTGTTTTGTATATAATTTTTTTTAAGTATGAGTAAATCTCCAAGTTAAATAAAATCACTCTAAGCTCAATAGTTTTAAATTCTAATCCTTTAACTTGTTTATTTCTATTGCCTCTGGCTTGTGCTGTTCACTATCTTCAACAGTGCCAATAAAAATCCTATTCTCATTCCTCAAAATCAAGTTCCAATCCAAACTTCTCCAAGAACCTTCTATCATCATCTTTGACAGGAGCCTATTAATCATGCTTCTGAACACATAATACATATTATCATTCATAATTATCATTCTAAGAACTGTTTATTGTCAAGTCCTTTAAAGGTTTAAGGCATTTTTCATTTCTCGCTTATCTCATTTGAGCCTCAAAAAAGGCCTGAGGTAAGTAGAGCAAGAATTAAAACTGTATCTCCAAATGGTGACTTCAGGTCTGGAGAATGAATGTATTATCTGAGAAAGATAAAAGTCTGTATTTCAATAAAATGAGAAAATTGAAGTGTAAAGAGTGACTCGATAAAGGCCACAAAAATCTTTAGGATACAGGCTCAAACCCACACCTTCCTAGTTGACTATAACGCTATTTCCCATCAAGGCAAAGTTCTACTTCCTGCAATACAACTTACAGAGAGAGGAGGCATCACTGTCTTTACCCCCTAGAATCTTTAAGAATTCAGACTTTTTCTCTGAATAAAGACCCATGTATATTATAAAATCAGATTTCAGACAACTATTTTACCTCATTTATTCGGGCTCTTGGCTATTTTACTAATTAGATAAATGACAATTAGGTGATTAACAGACCACATGTTATCAAAATGGGAAAAATATTTTTGGCAAACATATTACTATAATTTTTTTCTACTTTGATTTGGTAAATGTATATAAATTTGTTAGTAAACAATTTAAACATTAAAAAGCCTTATGTACCTCTGTCCAATTATTGAAATATAACAAATTTACTCATATACAAACAGCAATTGCTTTCATTATGGGGAATTTTTCAACTAAATAAAATTCTTTCATGGTATACTAATTTATTGCGAGTTAATGAAGAACTTTGTTATTGTATACAAAGAACTGTAGTTCTTCAATTGAAAACTCACATTATTCCTTCAATGTGTATTTACTAAGTACTTACTGTGCACAAATCACCATTTTTGTAATACTCCCTCTCTTTTTTTAAATTCCCTCTTTTTATAATAATACTCTATAATCATATTTAACTCTCCATATCGACATCATTTATTTGGAAAGAAAGACACCAGCCTATTAAAAAAAATCAACTATAACCATGTACTTTTTCTCATACTAATGGCCTTCTAAATGATTAATACTTTTTTTTATATGATAGTATTAGGTCATTAGGAGACTTCCTGGACTCACAGAAATTATATTAAGATTTTTCAGCCCATGGCTGGTTCCAAGTGAGAATGAGCTAAAAAAATACATGTTAGCTAACTTAATAGAAAGAAATACAATATTCTATTATTAAATACAAATTTATAAAAAAGAAATCACACAAGAAATGCATTCAGGGAGTGTTAGCTTCTATTTTATGGTATATGAAAGACTTAATATGAAGGTATGGGTTTCAAAACAGAAATTCATTCCACATCTATATTCATCAAGTTTCTTTTTAGTATATTCAAAAAAAGTGCTAAGCCAAACCTTCGATATAAATTGTTGATCCCTCTTGGGACAGTGGAATTGTATCCTGGGTCAAGTCAAATAGTAACTCTGAAGAATCATCTGATTCAACTTGTGATGAATTCTTTGTAAAATCCTGTAAAAAGTTATAATTACTTTGTTTCATAAGCTTGTAGAAAGGTAAATTAAATGTATGACAATACTATAAACACCTTAATAATTCAATTACTAATAAGCTATAAAACACTAAGATAATTATTACTCTGTTTAAGTTAGCATTTAGTGGGTAAGGGTTATATGGGAACTCTCTGGATTACTTCTGCAATTTTTCTATAAATCTGAAATTAGTTTGAAATTAAAAATTAAAATTACAAAATAATGACAATATTATTGGCAAAGTAGACATGTTTTGGTACAACTTTTCTGCAAGAAAATTTTGGCAATATCTATCAAGGGCTTTAAAAAATTCATATCCTTTGACCCAAATATTCCACTTACATGAATTTATACTAAGGAAGTAAAAATATTTAATGAGCATTATTTATAACAAAAAATAACGACCTGTATGTCCAACAATGGAGGAATGGTTAAATAAATGATAGGCTATAATGCAACATCATGCTTTTGAAAAGTAACCAAAAACAAAGAAAAATGTTTCCAATATGAAGTTCAGTGAAAAAAGAAGAGCTCATATCTGTGTACAAAATGTAATTCTGATTGATATATTCTATATACCACACTAACCACCTGTAAAAAACAAAATCAAAGTACAGTATGTATTGTCTTCTGTTTCCTTTCTAACTACCACCCCTATACAGAGTACCTTTATAATAGGAATATAAGAGTCTTGCTTGAATGTTTTGTGCTTACAAGTTGAAAAAAAAATCAGGTTTTAAGAATTTTACTTTGTTATTAAGTTTTCTGTTTACATGAGCTTAGTAAGAAGTTACAGAGGCAGATATTTAACTGAACCAAACCATTCCACTCCTAGAATTTGAGCACTACAGGCAGATTTCTGCATTCGAGCCTTAACATGTATTATATAAAACGGCTATGACTCAATGATGACTTTATGACTTAACTGTAACCAAGCATAATCTTCTGCAAGGTAAGTATTTTCTCCAAATATTTGCACTTACAAATGAAAAAATTCACTAGCAATTCTCCAAATAGTTCTTTCACAGAAGTTCCTCCAAATAAAGTTAATATTTATTTTTTTCTAAAGATTTTATTTACTTGAGAGAGACAGAATGAGAGAGAGAGAATGGGAGGGGGGAGGGTCAGAAGGAGAAGCAGACTCCCTGCTGAGCAGGGAGACCAATGAAGGACTCCATCCTGAGACTCCAGGATCATGACCGAGCCGAAAGCAGTTGCTTAACCAACTGAACCACCCAGGCACCCCTAAAATTAATACTTTAAACCTTTTCCAAGGTAATAACTCTGGCCAATTAAGTACCATCATTTCATAGAGCAGACATATTAGTCAACAAATAAGTTATTAAAATAATTTTCTAATTGGGAATTTTTTATATCATAAAATAGTTCAGAAAGATACCAAATACAACAGTGAGGTACGAGAGGCAATAGAATGGGATTTATTTATTTAACTTTGGAACCTTGGGCCAGTCACTTCTGAGATTCAAGTTTTCGCCTTTCCAACCCAAATAATAACTGCCAATTATTGTCTATTTAAAATGTAGTTGACTCTTTTAGTCCATGTATCATATCAGATAGTTATCACAACAGTACTAATAGGCCTAATACTATCTCCCACCTTATAAATAGGTAAACTAAAGTTCAGTATAGTTAAGTAAGGTTCCCAATACAACCCATCTTGTTATGAAGCTGGAATTAGAACCGAGGTTGCCGTGATTATAAATCCTGTGCCCTTGGGGCACCTGGGTGGTGCCATCAGTTAAGCATCCAACTCTTCTTTTTTTTTTTTTTTTTTTTTTTTTTTTTTTTTTTCCTAAGTAGGTTCCACACTGGGTAGGGAGATCATGACCAGAGCCAAAACCAAGAGCCGGAAGCTTAACTGACTGAGTCACTCAGGCAACCCAGGTGTCCACCTGACTCTTGATCTCAGCTTAGATCTTGATCTCAGGGTCCTGAGTTTAAGCCCTGTGGGTATGGAGCCTACTTAAAAACAAAACAAAACAAAACAAAACAAAAAACCCTGTGCCCTTAAGCTATAACACACTGACATATAAAGGAATAATAATTATCTTCTAGACTGCCCCAAAGAGTCCTGGTAAAGAGAAGAAAAGGGAATTTTCTTTGAAAAATATAAGTGTTATGTAGGATTCTCAATTTATTTGAAAATATAGATCCATCTTCCTCCACCCTGGCTCACATGAGAATTACCTAGAGAGTTAAAAAAAAAAAAACAAACAAACTATCATACCCAGGCCTCAACCCAGATCAAATGACAAAAACTGTTTTTTAAAGCTTCCCAGGTTTGGGAAACTGATTGAGGAGCTTTGATTAAACAATCATGCCCAGAAAAACAAAACATTCTGAGTTTGAATGAGCTCTAGTTCCTAAATTTTTTAATATGAAAGGTACCACTCCCTCCATTGTTCTCCTTCCCTAGTTCCAAGGTAGGAATAATTTTCATCTATCTCTATGTAAATAATCATGTTCCCCCCTTTTTATGTTTTTCCTTTTCTTTTTTTTTAAGATTTTATTTATTTATTTGACAGACAGAGATCACAAGTAGGCAGAGAGGCAGGCAGAGAGAGAGAGAGAGAGAGAGAGGAGGAAGCAGGCTCCCCGCAGAGCAGAGAGCCCGATGCAATGCGGGGCTTGATCCCAGGACCCTGGGATCATGACCTGAGCCGAAGGCAGAGGCTTTAACCCACTGAGCCATCTAGGCGCCCCTGTTTTTGCTTTTCTTAAATGCCAAACAGCTTATGATAGCATGAGAAACCACTGAATCAGTCTGATTCCAGTTAGAATAAAATAATTTTAGTATTTCTGGCAGCCTGCCATTATCAGGTACACCTATTAAGTTTTTATTAAAAACAGTCCATGGTTGCTTAGAGGATCCGAGTTTGAGAGCCAGTGGTTTGGATAAAGATTCTCATTTTAAAAATGCAGAAAGTGAGGCCCACTGAGGATTTATAACAATGCTTTAGCTAGGAATAGATGGAATCAACACTCAATTCTTTCATCTTCAATCTAGATTTCTTGGACTACTACTCCAGGACTCAAATTACTATTAATTCTTTCAGAATGTAGATACAAGTTTTCCAAATATCTAATTTTTAAAAGAGTTTTTATTTTATTTTTTAAAAGATTTTATCCATTTGACAGAGAGAGAGACATAGCACAAGCAGGCAGAGGAAGAGAGAGAAGCAGGCTCCCGCAGAGCAGGGAGCTTGATGCGGGGCTTGATCCCAGGATGCTGGGATCATGACCTTAGCTGAAAGCAGAAGCTCAACCAACTGAGCCATACAGGTGCCCCTATAATTTATAAAAAGGTTGTATTTAAAGCCCCAATGTGGAGCTCAAATGTACGACTCTGAGATGAAAAGTCACATGCTTCTTCAACTGAGCCAGCCAGGCACTCCACAAAAATCTAATTTTTGCTTGAAAGCTCAAATCTTATCATTGGGAAGAATACAATCATTTTTTTTTAAAAGATTTTATTTATTTATTTGACAGACAGAGATCACAAGTAGGCAGAGAGGCAGGCAGAGAGAGGGGGAAGCAGGCTCCCTGCTGAGCAGAGAGCCTGACATGGGGCTTGACCCCAGGACCCTGGGACCACGATCTGAGCCGAAGGCAGAGGCTTTAACCCACTGAGCCACCCAGGCGCCCCCATTTTTTTTTCTATGACAGACATGCTTTGTACATTTTTAAGTACGAAAAACTGCATGGTAGATTCTAAAGGTGGCCCCCATGACTCCCTCCCGATATTTACACCTTTGTGTAATCTGTCCTCGGGTGTGGGTGGAACCTGTGATTGCTTTTGACCAACAGAATATGGCAAATGGGACAGAATGTACATGATTATGTTATATAGCCCATTTTGCTGAGGATTCACTTTCCCTTGCTGGCTTTGAAGCTGCCACCAGTCATGTTAGGAAGGCTTATGTGGCAAAGAACTAAGGGCAGTCTCTGGCTGACAGCAGCAAGAAACTCATGCCCTCAGCTGACAACCCATAGAGAACTGGGTATTGCCAACGACCATGATACGGCAGCTCTGGCTGACACCTTGATTGCAGCCTTGTAAGATCTTGAAGCAGAGGACCCAGTAAAGCCATGACCTGACTCCTAACAGGAACCACGAGATAAGGGTATATTACTTCAAGCTGCTAAGTTTTTGATACTATTGTTATATAGCAATAATTTTTTGAAAAGGTTTTGTTTACTTGAGAGAGAGAGAGAGAGCACGCGTGAGAGAGAACAGCAGGAGCTGGAAGTCGAGAGGGAGAAGCAGGCTCCCAGCTGAGCAAGGAGCCCAATGCGGGACTCGATCCTGGGACCCTGGGATCATGACCTGAGCGGAAGGCAGATGCTAAACTGACTGAGCCACTCAGGTGCCCCGATTGTTTAGCAATAATTAACACATGGTGCTCTGTCGACCATCCGTTCAAGCAAAAATGGCATTCTATTAAAAAAAGCAGCTAGTTCAGTTTGCAATTCAAGTGGTTTTCCTCAAGAAAACCTTCATACTATACATACAGAAATCTTTTATGCGTATTATCCACTTCATCACACAGAGTATTTAAAAAAAAAAGTGTATTTGCCAAGGATTGAGAGTTAATAAAATTAGTAACAATTTATTACTTTTTCAAGGTTATTCTCAAGTGAAAGTGAAATTTTTCTACTGTGAGTGCTTGATGGTCACTAATACAAAAACTACCAGTACCGTTTGGTGACACTGCCTTCATTCATATTAAGGGACCAGCAGTTTTACCCTCTACTGCTTTTGCATCATCAGTGCAAATGCTGACAGAGTGAAGAGAGGAAACGTATCAGTCTATCACAAGTTTTAACTTCACAAATCCCTTAAAGGGTCTCAGGGAACCCCAATGATCTAGAACTATAACGTTGCTCTAAGGCAGTGTTTCTATGGATAGCAATACTTAAATTAAATTATGAACAGATACATGTATGCATATTTAAAAACCTCTGGACTGGGGCACCTGGGTGGCTCAGTTGGTTAAGCATCTGACTTTGGCCCAGGTCATGATCTCAGGTCTTTGGATCGAGCCCTGCATCATCTGCTTTTCTCTCTCCTTTGCCCCTCCCCCTGATTATGTTCTGTCTCTCTCAAATAAATAAAGAAAAACTTAAAAAAAAAAAAACTTCCAGGCTAACCTGGATTGAAATACCAGATCCAACTTTTATTTACCAGTTATATGGCCTTGAGTGAATTATTTAGCCTGAGTCTCAGTCTCCTTAACTATAACATGGGGATAATAACTGTGCCTACCTCATAGAGAAATAATACAAATGCAATGATATTAATTTATATACAACATTTAGAATAAAGACTTACCCACAATAATAGAATAACAAATGTTAAATATTATCATTAACTATTACTGCTGTTAAAAGTTTTAAAGCTGGGACGCCTGGTGGTTCAGTGGGTTAAAGCCTCTTTGCCTTTGGCTCAGGTCATGATACCAGGGTCCTGGGATCGAGCCCTGCATCAGGCTCTCTGCTCAGCAGGGAGCCTGCTTCCCTTCCTCTCTCTCTCTGAACTGCCTCTGCCTACTTGTGATCCCTATCTGTCAAATAAATAAATAAAATCTTTTAAAAAAAAGTTTTAAAAGCTAAGCCATGAAACTATGTTTTCAGAATAAACAGCATCAATGACCTCAAAACGATCTTCCCCAATAAGAATACCTGGTTCTGTTTACTCTCTTAAGAATTTTGCCATTATGCAACATTCATTACTGATCATGTTTTTACTCACCTTTAGACAGTCTAGTTTTCAATATTATACCTATTTAAGCATATAACCTGATACACTGAAAAGTTGGTTAGTTCCTACAGTTATTATTTTGGGTTTTGGTTGAGCTGTCAAAAAGATAGTGACATTTTCAGACTGTGATTGTGATCATGCTTCTAACGGAATGCTGACTAGTCCACAATTCTAACTGGGTGTTGTAATATCCAATGCATCCCTGAGCTAATTGTGTAGTTTCAGAAACACTTACAGGTTTAGACACGTTCTGAACAATAACAGAGTTCTGTGAAGACTTAGATTCAGGATGAAATCTAGGCAAGGCAGCCACTGGATTTGATGTTGGATCTTTATAGTGTTGACTTGTAGGCTTGAATGGATCAGTAACACCTGCATTTTAAAATTACACAACATATTGAGTATTTTTCTATACAACCAATTTTGTTAAAATATTTCACTTTAAAATTAAAATGGTATAATACTATACCTTGAGTGACTGTCTCATTCTTTATTCCCTTTGAAGATGAGCTGGGGTTACCTCTGTTCAAAATATCTATAAAAATATGTTTATTTTAAAACTCATTATTTTAATTAAGTGTAAATTAAAATAATAAAAAACTTTCCAAAAATATATCCACATACAACTAATAATTTAAGTATATTTCTTTCTCTTAATGGTGACCCCAGATCAAACCCTTCCCTAATTCCCATGCTACATTCATACCCCTAAAAGTCTGGAAGTTTCATTATGGATAAGCTGGTCACATTATCTGTACTACTCCTCTAGAGTTCTGAGAGGAACACTATTGAAGACTGCAGACTAAATTTAATCTAGAGTTTACCAGAGTATCTCAAATCTACTACTATACCAAAGTCAATCTAAGCGGGACATGACCCTATGAATCAGTGCTCACTCCTGTAGCCATGTCAACCCATAACTTCTGGGTTATTGAGGAATCAAATAAAAACTTGGAAGAGTAGAGATTCGCCTAAAACTGCTAATCAGGAAAAGGTACAAACATTTTAAAAATCCCATAAAACCTCAAAAAAATTTCTTTTAACCCCTCCTGATAGAAAAGAAACAGATCTCATAGAATAATTCTATAAAGTAAAGGGTCACACAAAAGTAGGGTTGTTTTATGATAATGGAAATTCAATTCTCTAAGACGAGGCACTACAGAAGTTTTCTAGGAGAAAAATCTGCTCAAACAACTTGATATTGTTTTCATTCAAAATTTAAAGTATTTACTCAAGCCATTAAAGAGTTAAACCTATAGTACTTTTTGGTGACTGTAGTCTATCAAACACAACTTTTTACCATCCCCCAACTTAATATGGTTCTATATAAATATTTAGCTCATGTTCCATATGACAAAAGAATTTTATGGCTCACACATAAAACAGCAATAAAATCACATAGATTTTGAGTTCATTTAGAAAAGAAATTTCACTGGGGTCAACTTCCTTTTTATAGAATCACTTAAAACTAATACACATTATTCTAGTTGAGTACTGTTAACCATTATCTGCAGTTGATATAAACCCAACTTGAATTGCCATGCTTTCAATAAGATGATCTGAATAATAATTTTGAAATATCACAATATTTTGGGATAAAAATAATCACAGTAAATAAGAAACAACAATTATAATATTCTATTCCACTATCAGCAACAAACATGCCAACATATTTACCTCATTTTATAACTGAAGTGACATTCCACTTAGCACCTCTCAATTTGCCACAGGAAATGATATTGAGAATTAAATTATTCTAGCTCTGATAAAACTGAACAGAAGTACTATCTGAAGTTTAGAGTTAAGAGATGCAAGAACAGGGCTTTCAAGAAATTAAAAACTCATCTCTTAACCACAATATAATGCACTGCCATTATAGGTAAGAAAACACTGGTATGCTAGGTACATTCTTTGCTAAATTCTCCTGGCTTAAAAGAAGTAAATATAATGAAAAGGAATCTATTTCCTCTTTCTCTGCTGAAATTTAGTATGTTGTTCCTTTGCAGAAGAATCTAACAATCTACACAATTACTGGACATGTTCTGCTAGAAAGGTAATACAGTGTAAAACACTACATGTAGTGTAAGACACTACATTTACATTAAGTGTAAAATGTGCACTTTGCACATTTTTTATTAGACATTTTAACAAGTGTCATCAATATCATCAATATTATCACAATGGCAATTCTAACTCTAACTGAAATCTAACAATCTACAAAATTACTGGACATGTTCTGCCTGAAAGCCATGAGGATTTAGTGTGCTAACTGCCTGCGTTGTACAAGTACAGCGGCTAAAGACCAGACCCTCCTTGCTTCATGAATATAATCAGGAGTCGTTGGAAGATGGGTGTGGCCAGAAACTATACCCCATGTTGGTACATATACTAGAGACTGTATAATCATGCAGTGCCTGTTCATTTTGTAGCCACGATTCAAGATGACACTGTGATGAGGCAGTTGCCTGGATGTGAGAACCCCCATGAGAGACAAACACAAGCCAATTTACTGTTCTAATATTTTAAGCAAAGCATTCCAAACATTTCCTTTTCTAGGTGTGTTTGGGCTTAAGGAAGAAAAACAAAAATTAACAAACAGGTGAATAGGCTACTTAGCTCTCCTAAAACTTAAGATTTCCAATTTCAGAAGGCCTATAATGCTGATATGGTAATCTTAACCTTTAGTTAACTTAGTTAACATTTCCCTTTTCTCTCAAATGATATTTTAACCTCTCACTTTACTCACGTCCCCAACCACATCCTCCCTGCGATTCTCACAAATTCTTACTGACCTATATGCTCCAACTCCTTGCAGAATAACAAGGACATTTAAGACGGCTCACAGGTTTTTCTATTAGAAACAGCAACTTACAAAACTTTACGTGGCTGAAATAAATGCTTACTTGAAATGGCTGGTTTTGAACTTGATATCTCTCCAACAAAAATCAGCTCATCATCATCATCATCTTCATCCAGAATTTCTTCTACTTTTTTCTGCCATGGTTCCAGCTCTTCTTCTTCACATTCCATAAAGAGTTCTGCCATTTTTGAGTTATCTAATTTCCGAAAGAAGAGAAACCCACCTTATTTTTTTAAAATAACTTTTTTGCAATGCATAGTACGATATTTAAGATATACTTTAATAATCTTAATTTTAATTACTGAATTGATATTTGCAATCAGCACATGGTAGCAAAAGTAAGAAACTCAACTCAATCTCTAAGATCTAAACTAGTACAATTAAGCTAGCTGGCTAAGTAAGAGACAACAGTAGTTATTAGTAGTTGCCAATAAATTTTAAGAATAACCAAATCCAATAAAAATTTGAAACATAAAAGAAGAATAATCAAGCCAAGGAAAGAATACTCAATGGGAAAAAGACAGTCTCCTCAACAAATGGTGTTGGGAAAACTGGACAGCAATATGCAAAAGAATGAAACTGGACCACTTTCTTTTTTAAAAAGATCGTATTTATTTATTTGACAGAGACACAGAGAGAGAGAGAGAGCACAGACAGGGAGAATAAGAGGAGAAGCAGGCTCCCTGCTGAGCATGAAGCCAATACAGGGTTCGATCCCAGGTCCCTGGGATAACAACCTGAGCTGAAAGCAGCTGCTTAACTGACTGAGCCACCCAGGCACCCCAGAACCTGCACCACTTTCTTACACCACACACAAAAATAAATTCAAAATGGATGAAAGATGTGAGACAGGAGGCCATTAAAATTCTAGAGGAGAGCACAGTAATATCTTTGACATCAGCTGTAGCAATTTCTTACTAGATATATCTCCTGAGGCAAGGGAAACAAAAGCAAAAATAAAATACTGGGATGTGGTCAAATTAAAAGTTTCTACAGGGTAAAGGAAACAACAAAACTAAAAGGCAACTATGGAATGGGAAAAGATATTTGCAAATGAAATATTAATAAAGGGTTAGTATGCAAAATCTATAAAAAACCAGTAAGACCCAAAAAACGATCCAATTAAAAAATGGACAAAAGATATGAATAGATGGGTGCCTGGGTGGCTCAGTCAGTTAAGTGTCTGCCTTCAGTGCAGGTCATGTTCCCAGGGTCCTAGAATTGAGCTCTACATTGGGCTCTCTGCTCAGCAGGGAGCCTGCTTCTCCCTCTTCCTCTGCCTGCCGCTTTGCCTACTTGTGTTCCCTATCAAATAAATAAAATCTTTAAAAAAGACATAAATAGTGATCCGAAGGGGCACATGCACCCGAATGTTTATAGCAGCAATGTCTACAATAGCCAAACTATGGAAAGAACCTAGATGTCCATCAACAGACGAATGGATAAAGAAGATGTGGTATATATACACAATGGAATACTATGCAGCCATCAAAAGAAATGAAATCTTGCCATTTGCAACGACGTGGATGGAACTAGAGGGTATCATGCTTAGCGAAATAAGTCAATCGGAGAAAGACAACTATCATATGATCTCCCTGATATGAGGGAGAGGAGATGCAACATGGGGGGTTAAGGGTGTAGGAGAAGAATAAATGAAACAAGATGGGATTGGGAAGGAGACAAACCATAAGTGACTCTTAATCTCACAAAACAAACTGAGGGTTAATGGGGGGAGGGGGGTTG